ACATCTACGTGGATGGCAGCAGGCAAAAAGAGAGCTTGTGCAGGGAGACTCCCATTTTTAAAACCATTAGATCTCGTGAGACCCATTTACTATCAGGAAAACAACATGGGAAAGACCTGCCCCCATGATTCAGTCATCTCCCACCCGGTCCTTCCCACAACACATGGGAATTATGGGAGCTACAAGATGAGATCTGGGTGGGGACACAGTCAAACCATATCATTGTCCTTACTGAGAACAGTGAATTATGTCTGATGCTCATCTGACCTGCTATGGATGGCAAGTATGTAGTACTAGGCCATGCCTAGCACAGCCTCTAGCCAACTCCTTTGTAGTCTCAAATTTTGACTTGGAAGTACTTTTGAATCATCAAATAAATAGTAAATTCCTTATGGGGTTAGAATTGCTGTGTTTAGCTTTGACTTGTTTCCTCCTCAAATTTTATTTATTTATTTATTTTTGAGACGGAGTTTCGCTATTGTTGCCCAGGCTGGAGTGCAATGGCATGATCTCCCCTCACCACAACCTCCACCTCCTGGGTTCAAGTGATTCTCCTACCTCAGCCTCCCGAGTAGCTGGGATTACAGGCATGCGCCACCGTACCAGGCTAATTTTTTCTATTTTGAGTAGAGATGGGGTTTCTCCATGTTAGTCAGGCTGATCTCAAACTCCTGACCTCAGGTGATCCGCCGGCCTCAGCCTCCCAAAGTGCTGGGATTACAGGCGTGAGCCACCGCGCCTAGCCTCAATATTTAATTTACCAGTGTTAATTTTGAAATAGTACCAATCAGTAAAAAGGTGTCAAGAGCATGTTTTCTTCTGACCACTTGATTTCCATAGCATAAAGATAATACCATATTTTCACTACTTCCCCAGTTGGGTGATGTCAGCCTAAGTTATATCTAGACTTACCAAATTCTCCAGAACAGAAAGTTCTTACCTTGGATTACATATGGATATATAAGGCATGCGAAATGTTCTAAATGTCTGTCATATGTTACAAAAGAATACTGCTAGCACTCAGAAACTTGGAGCCATTCTTCAGGTGAAAGTGATATCTTCTGACATTAGCATTGATTGTATTAATACTTTATTTACAGGTGTTCTTCCAGAGAGCAAAGCCCTAAGGACTGGATTTCCCTGTGCCTACTTCATGATCAGGAATTCCAGTTAGTGTATAAAGAAGCGATTTTTGTGTGCCATTCACACTGGTCTTTTTCACACTGTTTTGAGCTTACTGCAGTATATGTTTTGGGATTTTTCTGTAAAATGGGTGTAATTTTCCTGACACAGGTATGTAACAACAAAAGAAGTTGCCTGCATGCCGGTCCAAATTGTTCTGTATAAAGATGCTCTTCAAAGACACAGTTATCCTAGAACCGTAATTCTTTTTTATTTGAAATTTTAAGTCAAGTCCTTTATAAAGACCATAGCAGTGGAAAACAGTGTACTTTTTAAAAAATTGCTGAATATAAAATGTTTGAAAATTTTCTTTATGTGTGAAGACACATAAAGTATGGGGGGAATACAACAATCAAAACTAACTTTTTGTAGATAGTCATTTCATTTCTTTAAACTGTTTCAATGCCAATATGTATTCTACAAAAGAGAATGGTTTTAGGCTCCAGTGTTACACTTTTTTTAATATATATATATATATATAAAAATAAATTTTACGTAGTGAAATCTACCAAGTCTTTTCTGGAATTATTGTAAATACTTTAGTTTTATTTTCATCTTAATCTCTCCCTAATTTCCCATTTAAAGGTTTACAAATACGAGTGTGTGGATGCTTTAATTCATTTAACCTCACTCCTCAAAGGTAACACGCAACTTAGTTCTGTTATATGAGAGTCTTTTTTTTTTTTAATGTACTAGAAAAAGCCTATGTGAATCTGTTGATAGAATTTAAAATTCCAGGCCAGGCGTGGTGGCTCACGACTGTAATCCCAGCACTTTGGGAAGCCAAGGCAGGTGGATCATTTGAGGTCAGGAGTTTGAGACTAGCCTGGCCAACATGGTGAAACCCCATCTCTACTAAAAATACAACAGTTAGCCAAGTGTGATGGTGCACGCTTGTAATCCCAACTACTCAGGAGGCTGAGGCAGGAGAATCGCTTGAACCCAGAAGGCAGAGGTTGCAGTGAGCTGAGATTGTGCCACTGCATGCCAGCCTGGGCGAGAAAGTGAGACTCTGTCTCAGAAAAAAAAAGAATTTAAAATCCCAATTTATTTTCTAACTCTTTTATTGGATGTATTTAGAACACAGTATACCTATAGTATACCTATGTGTTTATTATGTTTGTAAATGGTAGCTAACATTTAATTACTAGAAGTACTTACCCCTGCCTTCCTACATTTTTATTCATAGCTACTTGAGAAAGCAAAAGGAAATAGTTATCAGTAGTATCACTGGAAAATTAAGAAGAGAGGAGGGACAAAACTGAGCAGCAGAATTCATATAGACATTTAAGTTTAAATTCTAAAAGCTCAATTGAGATTTTCAGGGAGGGTGTGTTTTGCCCTTTGGCCTCATGAATGGGTTTCATGAATGGGCTTCAGTGGCCTATAAACTCTGTAAAATTCTATTCTAAATTTTGCACATTTATTTTGTTCTGGTTAATTCCAGAAGACATTTCAAACATTTTTCTTACATCATATAATAAAAGTACTTAACTAAATTGACAATTATAAAAATAAATCAGCCGGGCACGGTGGCTCACGCCTGTAATCCCAGCACTTTGGGAGGCTGAGGTGGGTGGATCACAAGGTCAGGAGTTCAAGATCAGCCTGGCCAACATGGTGAAACCCCGTCTCTACTAAAAATACAAAAATTAGCCAGGCGTGGTGGCGGGCACCTGTAATCCCAGCTACTTGGAGGCTGAGGCAGAGAATTGCTTGAACCCAGGAGGTGGAGGTTGCAGTGAGCCGAGATCGTGCCATTGCACTCTAGCCTGGGCAACAGAGAGAGACTCTGTCTCAAAAAATAAAATAAAATAAAATAAATAAATAAATGAATCCGTGAAATGCACCTTATACTTCAATAAAAAATGTTTTCAGAAATAGATAAAGCTGAGTGTTTCTTTGATAGGGTCCCCTGTACTATACGAGTGATAATTACAGCTATTGTAATAGTAGTAATTGTTAAACAGATACTAATGAATAGCATAGCATAGTGGGTAAGAGTTTATATAGCACAGGCTCTAGAATCAGATTAAGTAGGTTCAAATACCAGTTCTGCCAGTAACTGGTTTAGAACCTTGGGCAAGTTAAATAATGTCTCCCAGCCTCAGTTTTCCTATTTGTAAAATGGGGGAAATAATGGTAGCTACCTCAAAACTCATTATGAATTCAATGAGTTAAACGTGAAAAGACTTATTGCAGTAGCTGGCACATAAAGACTTGATAGTAGTTTATATGGATGCTCTCTCATATTAGCATATATGGAATTAATAGTGTATCACTATACTTTTTTTTTTTTAATAGAGACCAGTCTGTCACCCAGGCTGGAGTGCAGTGGTGACATCATAGCTCACTGTAACTTCTAGCCCCATACTCTACTAATCCTCCTGCCTCAGCATCTGGATTAGCTGTGATCGCAGGTGTGCACCACCACATCTGGCTACTTTTTTTCTTTTTTTTTGGTAGAGACAGGGTCTCGCTATGTTACTCAGTCTGGTCTCAAACTCCTGGCCTCAGTCCTCCCACTGGCCTCACAATGTTGGGATTATAGGCATAAACCACTGCGCGTGTATGCTATCAATTCCATATATGTACTATGTATCAATTCCATATTATGGGAATATGTACTATGCTATCAATTCCATATATGCGAAGGTGTTTTCCCGTTTGGAGCTCTTTAAAGCTCTGCAGCAGATTTACATGTGTTTATCGAGCTAAGAGAAATCAGGGCATGGAAATTGAGTGTGTAATAAAAATTAAACTCTTCATGTTATATAATCATGCATAATTTCTATCTTCTTCTCTGAAGTTGCCTAGAGCACCATCACAGTTAGGAAACTTCCATCGTGAATTTCCTTATTACCAAAAGCAAGTACCCAAATAATTGTCTCAGGAGAGGAAGGACAAACTGTTAATAAGCTGAAATATTTGGGGATTTGTGTGACTTGACTAGGGAACCACAGGGTTTTGTAATGCCTGATTTAGCCCTGTGCCTAACAGTTTATTTAAATCTTAATGCTAATGTTAATTGGTTCCCAGGTGGTTGACCTTATAAGAAAACACTGTGTGGTATTTTAATGTGGTAAACATGTGAATGAAGGCCTTTGGCTCAGTTAATCACTCCCACAACTTTGAGCTGTGGTTTTACTGGTGGAAGGAACTTTAACAGGTCTTCGCTCTTGTCATTAGATATCAGAGAACTGAAATTGGTTGGAATTGTAAGCAGTGAATAGATGTGTTAGAATGATTCCATCACTTATACATTGTTTAAAATGCTAATAAAGTAACTTGCTTTGTAAGAACACATTAGAGTGGACTTTTGTTATCTCCATTGTGCATTTGATAAAACTGAGGCTTAGAGGGGTAAGAAACTTGCTTTTAAGTTAGTAATTGGAGGCCAAGACAGCAACCCTAGGTCTGTTCCATTCAAAAGCCTCTGAGCCACTCCTCATGACTTCCAAAAGCCTCTGAGCCACTCCTCATGACTTCCCGTTTATTCGTGTTTGCTGTAGTACTACTCTGGGACACACCATCTTCCTCTTCCCCTTCACTCAGAAATTTAGTCCTAGATGAGCAGCGGTCTGTCTGCCCCCTCCTTACGTTGAGAAAGGCCTGTTTTGCTGTCCGTGGGCAGAAGGGACCCCTTCAGAAAGCTATTCCTTATTGGGAATAGCTGCTTGAGATTTTGACTGCACGAATATTGCAGGACCTAATTTTAGTATTTAGGTTTCAGTTCTTAAATTCTTAAGTTTAGAGTTAGATACTTCAAAACGGCCATTTTCCAAAATACCGAGAGGGAGTTAAATGAACATATTTACATTAAGAATTTAACGTCTTTCTGGGTGATAGGAAAATGAAAAAAAGAATGTAAAGTCTGAATTACTGTGAGACGATAATCTGGTTCCACTGCAGCCAAAGTGGGCCCTTAAAACATAGAATCCATCCCTCCCGGCTCTGCCGGCCGTCTCTGCCTGCACCCACCACGTGCCCCACGTTCTGCACACCTGTAAATCGGGATGTAATCCCTTGTTCAGAGTCGGTCCGCCCCACTGTCGGCCGGCGCTCGGGGTAGGGGCGGGATTTGCAGTTGCGGGAATCCCAGTTACTGTGTTCGCTGCTCAGGGCTCCTCACTTCGCCTTTAGAGTAAAGGGGAGCTAGGGGAACCGTGGACGGGGTGTGTCTCCAGACATTCCCCTCATTACCGTGGCCTGGGAAGCCGACTCAGCAGTCGCCGCCGCAGCTGCGGTGGCTACCGGACGGGCCATAGGCGTGCGCACGCGCACCCGCACCGGCGCGCCGGCCGTCGGTCACGTGGCCCCCGGCCAGGGCTTGCGAAGCCGGAAGTGTCCTGGGGCTCGAGGCCGCGGGAGCCCGCTGGCGGTGGCGCGGCGGAGACCAGACTGGGTAAGTGAGACACCGCGGGCGGAGGGGCCAAGGCGGCGCGAGGCGCGGTCGGTCAGGCCTGCGCCGCCCGGCGGGGAGCGCTCCCGCCCCCTGTGGGAGGCTGGGATGCTGAGTCAGAGCGGGGGCGGGGGCGGGCGCACCGAGAAGCCCAGCACGACCCGAGGCCAAGCCATCCAGGACCCAGGCTGCGCGGATACTGCCTCTGGGGTGTGTGTCAGGGGCGGCCGTAGCCGGTGGAATGGTCGCGCGGGCCCTGTTCCCTGCATCCCCGCTCCTCGCCGCGCGGCCGGTCCTCGACCTGCATCCCGTCCGGCGGCTTTGGGCACAAAGAGGACGACTCCGTTACCGGGCCTGGGCCCTGGCTGCCCCGGGAGGCAGGGGCACCTCTTTCGCTTGAAGTTAGGCTGTTTTCTACCCTCTTTCCGAGAGTCGACACAACTGGCAGTTTTTAAATGCATTGATTTTTCAGAGGATTAAAAAGAGACATTTCCTTAGAGTTTAGTGATGTTCTGTTCGCAGAGGTTTACTCACACCGGAAACTAGAAGCCTAAGATGTTTTAAATATATGCCTATGAAATACGAATTCCCAGACGTTCCTTGCTCCTCGTCTACCTGACTTATGGGTTTAATTTGTAGTCTCTATCCCAGGTATTTTTAGTAGGTGGCCTTAAAACAACTCCCAAGTAATTGCCAAATGTATAACCAAAGACAGGTCTTTTCCACTCTGGAAGCCCCAGTGTATGAATCACATAGGGGTAGAGTTTGGAAATCCTGGAACTTTGTCCATAGGCCATGTCGTCAAACCTGTTTTCATCCCTCAGCAAATAGTAACTTTCGTTTTGGACGGTATAAGGAAGTAGACTGAACACGGCATCATCAGCAACATACTTGTGGAGTGCCTGCCTATATGCTTGTCAAAAATTTGGGACGATTTATATGGCAAGCACGTTGTGGGTGTGCTGAGTCATGTTTTAGCATGTTATTGTGGAGTTACTGGAAGATAGTTTCAAAAGATATTTCCCCTGACCACTATTGTGATTACTCTTAAACAGAAACCATAGTTTTGTATCTGCATAGAGAACAGATACCTTAGCTGATAAATATTTTTCTTATTATTCTGAAGGTACATACATATAGGTACCTAATGGTGCTATTTGCCATTTATAGTTACATTGATTAGGGAAGGTTTTTCATTAGATAGTTGAGACGTTTATTATTGTATCGTGAATGAAATGTAATAACTGACAAATGTGTATTCCTTATTTGTGAAAAGGAAATCTTATTTTTATTGCTTATTTGCAGTAGTCGTATATAAAATTTATCTAAATTAGATGGGTAGTAAAATTATATAAAACTATCCTGCTGTATCTGTGATTGGTAAAATTGAGACCTCTGACCATTCTGCATATTCCTAACTCAACTTGGGCATATTGGTGGTCATTATTTCATCACAGAATACCTACTCTAGCATACTACTTTTTGCTTTAACTTACTGTGGAGGGATATTAAAATCCATGTTTTGATGACAGTACAGCAGGTTTAAGGGGGCATGGTAGGACTAGTGTTTATGCTATCTTAGCATACACCAATTTTAGTCCAATGTGGAGCTTGGATATTTTGTATACCTTGATAGATCCATAGCTTTTCAGTATTAAAGACTTGATAATACAGGCTACTTGATACGTTTATATATTTATACTTGGAGGTTGGAGAAATATCCTTAATTTCAGAAGAGTTCGTAACTTTTCAGGAATAATAATTTTTGCACCTTTCCTTTATACTTGTCAAGTTCTGTGTAGATTGTGTAGATGAAATTTTAGCTTATGGAAATATGCAATGGCAACGTTTGTTTTCATTAGTGTTTCCCTGCTCTGAAGGAAACAAAGTAATTTTTTCTATATTTATTATATTTTACATTATTACTTTTCTTTATTTTAAAACACCTTAAATTATGTCTTAAATTAGTCTTTCAAAACATTTGAAGGAGGTAAGTAACAATATCACTCTCACTGACAAAGACAAAATTAGAAGAGAAATAGGTGTTGGGTTTTTTTGTTTTTGTTTTTGTTTTTTTTTTTTGAGATGGAGTCTCGCTCTTTCACCCAGGCTGAAGTGCAGTGGCGCCATCTCAGCTCACTGCAACCTCTGCCTGCCGGGTTCAAGCAATTCTCCTGCCTCAGCCTCCTGAGTAGCTGGGATTACAGGTATGCACCACCACACCTGGCTAATTTTTTTGTATTTTTAGTAGAGGAGGGGTTTCTCCATATTGGCCAGGCTGGTCTCGAACTCCTGACCTTGTGATCTGCCCGCCTCGGACTCCCAAAGTGCTGGGATTACAGGCATGAGCCACTGCACCCGACTGAGAAATAGATGTTTCTTTCAGCCCTGTGGTAAGTTAATTAAATTGAATGTATGTCATTGGTTAATTTTTTTTTTTTTTAAAGCTCGCACAACATTTTAGCCTTGAATATTGCTAGAAACTTAGATTTTTTTTTTTTTTCTTTTGAGATGAAGTCTTGCTGTGTCACCCAGGCTGGAATGAGGTGGCACGATCTGGGCTCACTGCAGCCTCTGCTTCCAGGTTCAAGTGATTCTCCTGTCTCAGCCTCCCGAGTAGCTGGGATACAGGCGCCTGCCACTATACCCATCTAATTTTTGTATTTTTTCTGGAGACAGGGCTTTTCTATGTTAGCCAAGGTCTCAAACTCCTGGCCTCAGGTGATCTGCCCGCCTTGGCCTTCCAAAGTGCTGGGATTATAGGCATGAGCCACTGCTGTCAGCTGAAACTCAAATTTTTTTTTTGTCATATTATTGTATTTTATTATAGTATGTGTAGTGTATACTAACTTAAAGAGAAACAATGTAATCAAAATGATGATCATGGGGAAAATGGCATCTTGCTTTAATCTTCAACTTAAAGTTACTCTTAATAATCCATTTATACCATTATGTCAAATTTTAGTCATCCCTGCAGAATTTTAGACAAATGAAAACAGACAAGGTGACACCAAAGAGTTAAGCACAGAAAGTGATATTGATTAAAAAGTTGAAAGTAAAAATCTACCTTGGCTAGAACTGAACATTCAGATCCATCTCTCCAGAGGAAAATCTAACTTGAATCATAATGGTTCATATTTTGACTAGTTTATACCATATCAATTAGCAACTTATGACTTGAAAATACTTTGAAACTTAGATATTTATATTGAACTGTTTATACACTTCAATTCAGCAACAGATAATGGGTGATCTTACTTGAGACTAAAAACAGCTAACATTTGTTTCTTAACTGTGTTACTCCCTGAAAACATATTTGCAATTTTTTTTTTTCTCTTAGTATAACAAGAGGATTGCCTGATCCAGCCAAGATGCAGAGCACTTCTAATCATCTGTGGCTTTTATCTGATATTTTAGGCCAAGGAGCTACTGCAAATGTCTTTCGTGGAAGACATAAGGTTGGTACAGAGAAATCTTTGAAGACCTTTTATCACTGTATGTGTTTTGTTCTAAGATGCATGCTTACGCTAAAATGTGTGACTTGGTGATTTTGATCCCTTTGTCTGAAGAAATTGTTTTAATGATTTTTGTGGTTATTTAAGGCATAGCTGTGTCAGGCAGTGAACTATCTACCCAGTGGTGGCAGAGGTTAAGTGTTAGTGAGTGGAGGGAAACAGATTGGTTGAAAATGGACTGGGAAAGATTACTGCAGCTCCCCTATGGTAGAGAGTGATTTCACTGACAGAAGTTCAGTGTAATGAGTTGAGGTAGCATTTGATATGGCATTTTGGATGGTAGGGAGGCAGATGTGTAGTTGGAGGGGAACTCACAGGTGTTTCTGATAGGCTCTGGTAAGGGTAAGTACCCCCACTAAAACAGCATCCTACAAAGCAGGTGGGAGTAAAATGAGATTCTCAACAAGGAGCCCAGGTTGAAAAGACCATATTTTCGTATAAGGTAATCAGAACCTGGTAGTGGAGGTGGGAATAAAATAAGATTATTCCCAGAGGCACTTCAAGAACCAAAAAGGATTTTGTGTCAGATTCAATGTGGAGGATGAAATTAAAAATAGTTAAAATAATTTAAAATGAAGAAATCGAAGATAATTAAACTTCCTATTCTGGGAAAGACGCTGGAAAAATAGAGTCTATTCTGGGAAAGAAGCTGGAAAAATGGAGTACACAGTTCGTTCATAATACAAATAATAACTAATTTTGCAGTGCTATGAATTTGTTTTGGAGCTAAATGATGTTTGGAGCTTCCTAAATCCTTATTTTCAGAAATAGGGCCCTAAAGTTTTAGTAGAGAGGAATTGCTTCCTCTTTTCCTGTATTCTTGAGACTACCAGTCAGTTCTGTCAAGTGATGATGAGATAAGCGTACATCGGGGAGCGGCTGTTTCCTCTGGGGAGAGTATATTGACTATAAACACCCTTTATGGCTCATAGAGAATGAATCAGAAGTACCATACGGACAACTTTTAGCTTTCCTCCCCCTGTATCTAGAATTATCCACAAGCTCTGGATTCTTACTTAGATTACTTGTGATCAATCCTGGGTACCCCATCCTAGAAATTGCTTTTGTTTTATGCCAAGGAGAAAATGACTAGTGACTCAGAATTTAGCATTGAGAACACATCTGATCATCTTATCTTCCTGTAGTCCAAATTAACAAACTTTTAATTATCACTTGGTATGTGTCAGGCACTGTGGCAGACCTAGTGAATATAACTATAGCTAATGTGCAGTCTCTGGACACAGTTTCGAGTTTAGTAGCAGGATGGATTAGAAAGGAAGTAAATTGGAAGCTGATGGGATGAGAGATAGTCAATAGTGATAGAGACTGGATGAGACATATTGAAAGGGCCTGGCACTAGAAGATATGTCACATATCCTGCTCCTCTTTCCTTAACTTAAATACTCTGTGCTTCATGTAAATGACTACATATAGTATGCACTCTATAAATTATACACTCTATAAATGTTTGCTGCATGAAAAAATAAGTGAATGAATGAGGACTGATTAGACTACCCCAAGACAACCTGAAGCTCTCCAAAGGAAACAAATATGTACCCATTATAGTGTGGAAATCTAAAATGAAGATTTGAGAAATATAAGAATTAATTAAAAGATTGCTACATCGGACATAGTGGCTCACGCCTATAATCCCAGCACTTTGGGAGGCCAAGATAGGTGGATTGCTGTGTCTAGGAGTTTTGAGACCAGCCTGGGCAACATGGCAAAACCCTGTCTCTACTAGAAACACACACACACACACAAACACGCGCGCGAAAAAGATGGCCAAGGCCCAGTCTAATATTTAGTCCCCAACAGTTTTCCTAGGAAGGTGCTTTGAGAAACCAAGTTTGTTCTTAATGACAGTAATTTCAAGTGTTTAGGACTATATCCTCCAAAAAATCCTGCTTCCCTTTAACTATTTGAGGATTTTTACCATGATATTAACCCTTTTATATTATTTCTTAGAATGACCAAATTCTTACATTTATTACTTGTCATTCAAAGTATATTACCTACTTAATCTCTTTTTCATTAAATTGCTTTTAGTTACTAATGTATGAGTGTGGATGTGTATATTCATGGTGAAGTTGAAGGGAAGAGAGTTGAAGGATGTGTTGATCTGCACATATGGATATATATACACACACACACATATATATATATGGAATATATATATGGATCTCTATTATTTGTATACACTTTGACTTAGTGAATAATAGATGACTGTGTAGGTGAATAAAGGGAAAATGGTACGTTTCCACCTATATCCCGATAATCTCACAGGCATGATGTAGTCTACACAAGTTTGGAAAATAATGACCGTGAAGTCAGTGGGTATATTGCAAAATTGTATTATTTTCCCTGCTTGCTCCTCTGTTAGGTTTCTCCTAGTTTTAGACTGAGTTTGAGGTCTGTCTCAGCTTAAGAAAAATCACTCTGTTGGGTGATACATAGATTTGGCAGTGTCTTTACCCTTGCTGAACTAAGGGAAAAACAGTGGAACTGAACTATAGTTAAATTCTTCTCTTTTCATATGTCTGAAAATGGTCATTGGCTCTTTCATCTTTCATTTTCCTCTGGAAAGAATATGTATCAATTTGTGCATTTTGCATGACCAGGGTGAGGGGAATCACATAGGATTATGAAGCAGTTAAATGGCCTTAAGAAAAGGATCATGCGATTCTGGAGTGAGAGAGAAGGATGATAGCTCCAAGTGGTGAATCTGTGGAAAGTATAAAGAAGACTCCAAAGCAGGAACAGTACAGAGGTCCTGATAGAGATGAAATGTCTTTAGCCATGAAATGTGCTTGAAACCCAGGCTCAAAGAGAAAAGGATTTTCCTGCTTGCTCTAGGGAAGTTCAACCTTGGATGAATGGGGGGAAATGTAAGGCTAAACTCAAGATGTGGACTGGCCACGAGGGAGAGGCTTGCTCATTAGAGTGATTGGAAGGAGTGAGAGGGTCTGAAAGATAATCTTAAAGGAAGGTTAATAAGAAGAATATACGAATATGATGTTTACCTGAAATGTAAGCGTATGTTTAGAACTTCTAAGATTCCCTACCAACTACAGCTGTGCTTTGTAATTTTGTGTGTGATCTACTTCAGTAGGTCATGAAAGAGTGAGAGTGGGATGCTGCGATACATCAGTAGAGAAGAAGAAATAAATGCCTTTAATCCTCTAGAGAGGGTCTGTGAAGGAACAGCCTGCCCTGGTCATCTAGGTAGAGTTGCAGAAAGTAACCCAGGGCAGCAGTGGTAGAATCCAACCAGGAAGTCTGCTTTAGCCTTGCTCTGCAACTCCTGCTTTCCCCACTCTCCTCCCCAACATTGTCCTAGCTACAAAATAATTCTGAAAAGTTAATTGCATTACTTTGATATTCTTAATAAAAATCTCATAGGTGGAATATAGTGTTCAGTCTCTCTGTCCTGCTTTGATTTGTTTAAAATTATTAGGCCTTGGAGAAGCCCTTGTGAGTTTCACTTTCTATTTCCTCTCTAAAAGATGATTTTGCTTTTGATATTATTATAGCTTTTATCTTTGGGTGTGCGACTATTTTTGCCCCACTGTATCCTCATGAAAGCTTTATGATATGAAAGAAAATATCCATTTCTAAATTCCAAAAGGTGTAATTTGAAAGAAATATTGAGCAGTTAATTGATTCATTTTAACTTTTTAGAAAAGTCAAGAGTCCTAGTACAGATTCTCTGTGCCTAAAAGATGCACAATGTTCTATCAGAAAATAAGTTGCCATAACTAGTTTTAATGCTACCTTTTAATCTCTTTTACAATATTATGAATAAGTAAAACATTTCTCTCTTTTTTTTAAAGAAAACTGGTGATTTATTTGCTATCAAAGTATTTAATAACATAAGCTTCCTGCGTCCAGTGGATGTTCAAATGAGAGAATTTGAAGTGTTGAAAAAACTCAATCACAAAAATATCGTCAAATTATTTGCTATTGAAGAAGAGGTAAGTAGTAAAACTTTAGTTAATCTTACATTTATTGTAGTTGTGAGTCAAGAGATAGAACCTAGTATTAAAAAATGGATTTTTTTTAAAAAACTGTTGAAAATTGGGGTTTGTACAACCAAATACTCTATCCTAAAGGATTCTTGAATACATAGAACAATAGAAATAAAATATCATAAAAATGGAATCAGAAACAGTAGTATAAGAAATAAAAGGGGGTGGCCAGGTGCGCCTGGGTGTGGTGGCTCATGCCTGTAATCCTAGCACTTTGGGAGGCCGAGGCAGGCAGATCACGAGATCAAGAGATTGAGACCAGCCTGGCAATATGGTGAAACCCCATCTCTACTAAAAATACAAAAATTAGTTGGGCGTGGTGGTGCGCACCTGTAGTGCCAGCTACTTGGGAGGCTGAGGCAGGAGAATTGCTTAAACCTGGGAGGCAGAGGTCACAGTGAGCTGAGATCGTGCTGCTGCACTCCAGCCTGGCAACAGAGCAAGACTCCATCTCAGAAAAAAAAAGAAAGAAAGAAAGAAAGGATCACTTGAGCTCAGGAATTCAAGAACAGCCTGGGCAACATGGCAAAACCCTGTCTCTGTAAAAAATACAAAAATTTGCTGTGCGTGGAGGTGTGCACCTGTAGTTCCAGCTACTCAGGAGGCTGAGGTGGGAGGATCACCTGAGCCTAAGAGATCAAGGCTACAGTGAACCATATTGTGCCACTGTACTCTAGCCTGGGTGATGGAGTGAGACCCTGTCTCAAAAAAATAAAGAAATAAAGAAATGAAAGGGTATTGAATATGGTTACCAGTATTATTACTAGAAAAAGGTAACAAGTTAAATCAAATAATTATAAAAAGAAAAAATAATTATAAAAAGAAAAAAATCAAACTTTTAAAAAAATAAAAATTTTTTATTTTGCGAAAGAATAAAAATTTCAAGAGTCCTAGAGTTTAAGATATGAAGTCCAATTATAAAAGAATTGATTTTTTTTAAGGGGAAATGGTGGAAGTAAGAATGTCATTAGGAAACGTAATCTAGAAATAATGGAAATAGAAATGATTTTAATCCCTTTAAACATGAGCAATCAATAAAGTCTTTGGGGAAAAAATGTAGTTTATACTCTAGTGATTTTATTTTTAGTGATTATTTCTTAGGAAGTAAACAAATATAATTTTATGCATAAAAATTTTAATTGGCATGCTGTTTATAATAAAGAGTGGGTAAATAAGTTAAATAAATTAGAATGTGTGGCAGATAGTTACCTGGAATTAGCCAAACTCAAGGTTAAGAGCATAGCCTTCCAGACTGCCAAGTCTGCTTAAGACTTCTGATACCAATTGCGAAGGAGTTTGGCAAACTGCACAGAGAGAACAGTTCCCACAAGACTACCTTCACATCATACCAGCTGGATGCAAATATGGGGGTTGCCCATGACACTCAGATTTGGTAATTTGCTGGAAAGTAGAATGACTCACAAAACTGAGGAGAGTGCTATACTTACAATTACTATTTTATTGTAGCAAAAAGATGGAAATTAGAACCAGCCAGAGGAAGAGACACAAAGCGTGGAATGTGGGAGGGTTCCAAACTTGAAGCTTCTTTGTCCTGAGGGACACATTACTGTCTCAGCATTGATGTATGACAGTATGCATGGAGTATTGCCAGTCAGGGAAGCTCACCGAAGCCTTTGGTGTCCAGGGTTTTTACTGAGGCTGGATCACTTATTGCCTGTATTGCTAACCTTTAGTGCCCAGCCCCTTCCAGAGTTTTGGGGTAATTCCTTTAGTCTTCATTTCCTCTGGAGGGCGGAACTCATACGGTGTGTTCTAAAGCCCCCATCATAAATCATGCTGTTAGAATCTCCAGTGGCCGAAGCCCCCAGAGGAACAAAGACAGAATTCTTGTTCTTTCAGATAGGGCATTTCAGGGGCCAGAGATCACTTTCCAGTAGCCAGGGGCAAAGGCTGACTTCTCTTTAGGTAAAGTTAATTTTACCACACAATAGTTAAGTGGTAATGAAAAGAGATATTTACCAAAATTTTAATCTTCTCAAAACACCTTATATATGATGTTATGTTAGAAGAATCAGGATTAAAAATATATATGTAGTATGATCTTAATCTCTACAGTGTAATATGCAAACAGCATTATGTATCTATGACATTATTTGATTCATAGAAAAAAGACTGAAAAAAAATACACCAAAATATTAATTCATTATCTCCAGGTAATGGAATTATGTATACCTCCCAGATTTTCAACAATCAACATATATCATCATTTAAAAGCAACAGGTTTTTTTTTCTTTTTTTTCTTTTTTTTTTTTTTTTTGAGACGGAGTCTCGCTCTGTCACCCAGGCTGGAGTGCAGTGGGGCGATCTCGGCTCACTGCAAGCTCCGCCCTTCCGGTTCACGCCATTCTCCTGCCTCAGCCTCCTGAGTAGCTGGGACTACAGGCGCGCACCACCAAGCCTGGCTAATTTTTTGTATTTTTAGTAGAGATAGGGTTTCACCATGTTAGCCAGGATGGTCTCGATCTCCTGACCTCGTGATCCGCCCGCCTCGGCCTCCCAAAGTGCTAGGATTACAGGCATGAGCCACCACGCCCGGCAGTTTTTTTTTTCTATTACAATTATTTCTCTCTCTCTCTTTTGAAATGACTGCCAGAAAATAATTTAAAATATTTTATAAAAGTGTTTTGGAGATATGTAGAAAAAAAATTATGAAAGAAAGAAAGGATAAAAAGTTAGAGATGAATAGTAGATTTTAAGACTCATTCACATTTTCAGGTTCTGAAATTGGTGTGCATCTTATAATAATTGTGTATATGTAATTTGATGGTGTTTCTTTTTCCCTGTAAAGCTGTTATTAAATTGATGAAGCATTATAATCAATGGTATGTTAAAATTAAGGTTTAAAACAAATGAGCAGCTCAGATGCAGATGAGCAGACTGGAGCTTTGCTGCGAGAGGGACCACTCAGCTGTTCTGCTCCCCATTTATTTTTAAGGATAGGACTCCATTCCTTGAAGTAACAGTAGTCATCATACGAAAAATTTCGTTTTAAGAGGTTAGAAGAGCTGTTGCCCTAAATGTGCTGTTATACATAAGAAATTCAACACTGGCGCAATGTCTCACGCCTGTAATCCCAGCACTTTGGGAGGCCGAGGCGGGCGGATCACGAGGTCAGGAGATTGAGACCATCCTGGCTAACATGGTGAAACCCCGTCTCTACTAAAAATACAAAAAAATTAGCTGGGTGTGGTGGCACGTGCCTGTAGTCCCAGCTACCTGGGAGGCTGAGGCAGGAGAATGGAGAATGCTGTGAACCCGGGAGGCAGAGAGTCGAGATCGTGCCACTGCACTCCAGCCTGGGCAACAGAGCAAGACTCCGTCTCAAAAAAAAAAAAGAAATAAAGAATTTCAAGTGACTGGGTGTGGTAGCTCAAGCTTGCAATCCCAGCACTTTGGGAGGTTGAGGCAGGCAGATTGCTTGAGCCCAGAAGTTCGAGACTAGCCTGGGCAACATAGTGAGACCCCATCTCTACAAAATAATAGAAAAATCAGCCAAGCATGGTGGAGCATGCCCATACTCCCAGCTACTTGGGAGCTGAGGCAGGAGAATCACTTGAACCTTGGAGGTGGAGGTTGCTCTGACTCTGTCTCAAACAAAAAAAGAAAAGAAATTTAAGATAATTTTAACAAAACCATCATAACATTGTACCAATGATTTTGTAGTTCAGATTTAGCTACTTTTTACTGTGGTTTGTCTTTAAAAACAAATCCAACTTCTTAATAGGAATTTGGAAAATGTTAATTCTTTTTCTTTTTCTTTTTTTTAATTTTTTTTTTTTTTTTTTGAGATGGAGTCTCGCTTTGTCACCAGGCTGGACTGCAGTGGCGCAATCTCGGCTCACTGCAACCTCCGCCTCCTGGGTTCAAGTGCTTCTCCTGCCTCAGCCTCCCGAGTAGCTGGGACTAGAGGCGTGTGCCACCACACTCAGCTAATTTTTGTATTTTTAGTAGAGATGGGGTTTCAGCATGTTGGCCAGGATGGTCTCAATCTCTTGACCTTGTGATCCGCCCACCTCAGCCTCCCAAAGTGCTAGGATTACAGGCGTTAGCCACCGCGCCTGGCTAGAAGATGTTAATTCTTATATGTGTATGGTCAACAGATACTGAATCTCAGGTGAACCTAAGTGCTTTCATCATTGTAACAAATCCTACATTTAAATGAAATCAGATAAGTACTGACATATAATCAAAATTTATTTTTTATGTTGATTCGCAATCAATGATTTTTTTTTTCAGACAACAACAAGACATAAAGTACTTATTATGGAATTTTGCCCATGTGGGAGTTTATACACTGTTTTAGAAGAGCCTTCTAATGCCTATGGACTACCAGAATCTGAATTCTTAATTGTTTTACGAGATGTGGGTATGTTTATTTATGTGATTTCTTTTATATATAAAATTTAATAACAGAATTTTTTAACAACATCTTACATTCAAAACTAAAGACCTTTATGCAATGCTTCCTTAGATATGACACCAAAAACACAAATACCAAAAATAAATACATAAATTGGACTTCATCAACATTAAACATTTTTGTGCCTCAAAGGACATCAGGTAAGTGAAAAGACAGCCCATAGAATGAGAAAAAAAATGTTTGTAAATGATACACCTGACAAGGAATTTTTATCCAGACAAGTCAACAATAAAAAGCCAGATAACCCAGTTTAAAAATGGGCAAAGGATTCGCATAGACATTTCTCCAAAGAAGATACACAAGTGGCTAACAAGTACATAAAAAAGGTTCAACGTTAATTAATCAATTAATAACCAACATCATTGGTTATTAGGGAAATGCTCATCAAAACCACAATGAAATACCACTTTATACCAATGAAAATGACTAATATCAAAAAGACAAACAGGGCCAACCATGGTGGCTCACGCCTGTAATCCCAGCACTTTGGGAGGCGGAGGCAGGCAGATTGCTTGAGTCCAGGAGTTCAAGATCAGCCTGAGCAACATAGTGAGCCCCCATCTCTACAAAAAATAAAATAAAAAATAGCCAGGCATGGTGGCATGCACCTGTAGTCCCAACTACTCGGGAGGCTGTGGTGGGAGGATAACTTGAGTCCAGGAGATTAAGGCTGCTGTGAGCCATGATTGTACCACTGCACTTCAGCCTGGGCAACAAAGCAAGACTCTATCTCAAAAAAAAAAAAAAAATTGAACAACAAGAAGTGTTGGCAAGAATATGGAGAAATTGGAATCCTCATACATTGCTGGTAGGATTGTAAAATGATACAGCCATTCTGGAAAACAGTCTAGAAGTTCCTCAAAAAGTTCAATATAGAATTATTTAACTTTTGACCAAATGACCCAGCAATTCCACTGCTACGTATATACCCCAAAGAATTCACATATCCTCCAGTGTACTTAGCAACATTATTCATAATAGCAAAAAATAAAAAATGAAAACAGCCCAAATGTCCCTCAACTGATGAATAGATAAGCAAAAATGTGGTATGTCCATACAATGGAATATTATTTGTTTACAAAAAGATATGAAGTAGTTATATATGCTACAACATGGGTGAACCTGAAAACATTATGTTAAGTGAAAGAAGTCAGATGCAATATTATATGATTCCATTTATATGAAATGTCAAGAATAGGCAAATCCATGGAGACAGAAAGCAGATTAGTGGTTGCTGGGGGATCAGGAGAAGACAGAGTTGGGTATGAGGTGTCTTTTTGGTGTGACAAAAGTATTCTGAAATTAGTGGTGATGGTTGTACAACTCTGTGACCATACTAAAATTGACTGAATTGTACACTTTAAAAAGGTGAATGTTGTGTGTGAATTATATCTCAGTGAACCTATTTTTTTAAAAAAATACTGCAATCAAAGGAAATAACATCTTAAAATAAATGAATCAAATATTCGAGGTATGGGGAAAAGTCAAGTGATAAAGAAGGTAAAAGATTGGTGGGAATTCTTGAACTTGACACTGGAAGCAGAGCGATTAGTTAGATGAGGATACAATGAGAGAGAAACAATATTACTAGTATGCTACAGCCTGTTTAATCAAATAGAAATTATGGATATGATATCTTCCTAAGTATACTGGTAGTCCTGAGTTTTAATAATTATACATTGATACCCCTAAACCTTTTACATATTTTGAATTTGAACATTCATCTATCAGCCGTCAAGCAAATGTATAAAGTTATCACTAAGTGACAGTGCCTGTCAGTTAGACAAAATAGCTTAATTTCAGCAAAGTAGACAACTTTGCCCTTAAGAAGTTCTTAAAAGAAAAGAAAATGGGCTTTTTGGAATAGTGTCAAGCATATGAGAATACATGTTTATGGAAACAAGTTTGACACTTTGCTGTTTTTCTGTTTCTTTTTTGCTGTTTTACATATTGAGTCCAGTTTACTTTTTAGGGAATTTTTCTTGCAAGATAAAGAAATATAAAACTCTGGTGAAAGATTGATATCTTTTTTGGGAATCTTTATTATTTTTATGTTTAAACAGTCACCCACATATATATAACCAAAGTAATTCAAGAAATCATATGCTTAAGACTGTTTTGTTACATTTTCCTGGTAGTACTTAAGAGACACTGGATTCTTCCTTAGACCACATTAATTTTTATCATTCTAAAACTTATTATAACTAAAGCATAAGATATTATATATGTTTATTTATTATCTATTCTTTGAGAAAATTACTTTGAACCAAATTATGGAAAAATTTATATTAAGTTTGGGTGACTATATCAATGAATTTGAGACATGCACACATACACCTAAATACATTATGACTTCTTTTGTTTTACATTGTTGAAGTGGGTGGAATGAATCATCTTCGAGAGAATGGCATAGTGCACCGTGATATCAAGCCAGGAAATATCATGCGTGTTATAGGGGAAGATGGACAGTCTGTGTACAAACTCACAGATTTTGGTGCAGCTAGAGAATTAGAAGATGATGAGCAATTTGTTTCTCTGTATGGCACAGAAGAATATTTGGTAAGTCATGCATCGCTAATATTTTCATTTAAAGAAGCTTGATATATTGTAATTATAATTGGGTAATTGATCAGCCAATTCGCTATAAAGTACCGTTTTTATGACAAAAATTAAATTTTCTATTCTAATGAATATGTGTAACATGGGAAATTAGGTACTCGTTTCCAAGGGTGCAGTTATTTTTCTGTTAAAAATTCTTGGAAGTTTTATAGCACTCTTAAATTCTTGAGTTTTACTGATGCTATGGATCTGTATCAGAAGGATCCCTTTTTTTGATGAGGAGTCAATATATTACAAGCTTGTTATAATACTGTTTTTTATATATTCGTTATGTTTATGAAACAGATAATTTTATTTGGGGGAGTTTGGTTATTGAATGACTAAAAGGACCATTGTTAGAAACACACACGCACTAAATTCCCCTGAGAAGATCTAACTTGAGATTTTAGAAAGCTAGAAAAGCTCTGTGGTTGAAAAAATTTATGTAGGTGTGTTTTTGTAAAGTCAGTAAATATTTGAAACACTTAAGAAAATATACTTAAAAGTAAATAGTTTTAACATGTAATCAGGAAGTTTAATATATATAGCTCACTAATTGTTCATGGCTCTGGGTTTTGTCTTAAAAGTCATAGAATCTATGACTTTTTTGCATTTGGATTGTGCGGTTGTAGTTTTATAAGATGCAAGATATCTACCACCCCCTGTAGCTTTATTCAAAGTATTCTAAGTGGCATGAACTAAGTGTCTTAAATTGTTATCCTAACTATTGGTAACCCCAAAATGATCTGTAGATATATGTGATGATCTTTTAGATAAGAGTACCTAAGAATGGGTCAGACGCAGTGGCTCATGCCTATAATTCCAACACTTTGGGATGCCGATGATTGCTTCCTCGGCAGGCAAAGGATTGCTTGAGCCCGGGAGTTCAAGACCAGTCTGGGCACAATGACAAGACCCCATCTCTGCAAAAAATTACAAAATTAGCCAGGCATGGTGGTACACATCTGTACTCCCAGCTACTCATGAGGCTGAGGGAGAAGGATCCCTTGAGCCCAGAAATTTGAGGCAGCAGTAAGCTGTGATTGCACCACTGCAATCTGGCCTGGGCTACAAAGCGAGACCCTGTCTCTTAATTTTTTTAAAAAAAAAGTACCTGACCCAGGCACGGTGACTCATGCCTGTAATCCCAGCACTTTGGGAGGCCGAGGTGAGCAGATCACAAGGTTGGGAGTTTGAGACCAGCCTGGGTAACATGGTGAAACCCCATCTCTACTCAAAATACGAAAATTAGCTGGGTGTGGTGATGTGTGCCTGTAATCCCAGCTACTTTGGGAGGTTGAGGCAGAATTGTTTGAACCTGGGAGGTGGAGGTTTCAATGAGCTGAGATCATGCCACTGCATTCCAGCCTGGGTGACAGAGGGAGACTCTGTCTCGGGGGGAAAAAAAAAAAGGTACCTAAAAATGGATTTTATTCATTCATTGCACAAATATTTATGAAGTGCCTACTATATACCGGATACTGTTGTAGGTGCTCAGACTCTAGATACATGATATTCCTGCTCTTATGGAGCCCACATTCTGGTAGGGAAAAAAGATGATTAACAAGTAAAGTAAATTCAGATCATTAAAGTTTAGCAAAGACAATAAATTAAGGTAGTAAGATAAAGAGTGACTAGCAGGAGAAAGATAGCCTGGGAAAGCCTCCTTTAAGGACTAAATGAACTGACACTGAAATGATAAAAAGAAGCAAGCCAGGCACACTGTTCTGACTGCTGTGCTGTGGCCATTCCCTGGCCCTGTGGAAGCTACCTCACCCTGCAGTAAAGAAACTCAACCACCAGTCCTCATACTCCTCGGCAGTTCCCTCCATCTCTACTTGCTGTGTACTACTGAACCCTACTGCATCAGTCTAGCCTCCTCTCCCCTACGTAGACGTGTGTTGTTGAGGGCCCAAGATGCCTGTGGGGTCCTCTGGCTGTCTGAGTTGTGACGTGTGAGCTGCTTTGTGATACAGTGGACTCCCTGTCATTGTGGATCTGGAGAATGTGTCATAGAACATAGCAGAGGGAAGTACAGTTGTAATGAATTCACCTTCAAGCTTCCTGAGACTCTTGGCTGGAACAGAGACAGGACTCAGATGTTTCTGGCAAATGGAATCAGGCTTCACATCCTGAATTCTCCATGAGAATGTAAGCGCCATAAAAGCAGGGACTTTCATCTTAGCCTGCCGAGAACACCAAGCAGAGTTAGACAAGCGGAAGTCACCTCTTTCCTGCTCCTTTTTCTGTCCTACGTGACATTTGTGCTTTTGCTATTATCCTTTTGTCTCTTCCTGGGCCTCAACATGTGACTGAGTCAACACACATCTTCATTCTCATTTCTCTGTTGGTGGTCTTCTCAGTTATATTTGGCTAGACCATGCTTTCTGCTTCTAGAAGCAACACTGCTGAATTCACACCAGAGCTTTGGTACAAGGCAGCTTCCTGATTCGTTCACTTCCCCAGCTCAGACATTCCCCTTCTCTTTTCTCTTAGAGCAGTGAGCCTCCACTAAATAGCTCAAGGCCATGTTCTCCCAGACTGCCTCCTTTCCAGTAGCAAGCTCGAGCCAGTGTCCTTCAAATTCAATTATTAGATAAAATAACTTCTTCAAAAATTCAATTTCTCTCTCTCTTTCTCTTTCTCTCACCCAGTACTTTTTTTTCCCCAACCCCACTTTCTGTAAGAACAGCCTATTTCTAAAAGCTAGTTCACCAGCCCCAGCTCCTTGTCTCTGGAGCCCACACCTGTCATGGCCAAAGCCACAGTAGATGAGTGCTCAGGACACTGCCATTCCCAGGAGGGCACTGCTTGCCAAGGTTTACTGCTCTAAGAATGTTCTTGTGCTTCAGTCTGGTTCCATCAGGCCCAGAGAAAACAGGAGCTGTAAAGGCCTGGAGACAAGAATGACCTCAGGAGTTGGAGAAACAGAAAAGATGGCAGTTTTGCTGGAATTTAGGGAGTAAAGAGGCAAGTGGAAGGAGTTAGAATTGAAGACGTAATCAAGGGGCTAGCCAGATCAGATAGGCTAGTAGTTTAAACCCTGTCAGACCAATACCCCCTTTTTATAATAAATATTTTGCAGTGTTCCCTTCAGTATCTTGAAATGAAATTCCTAGATAATATTATAAACCTGCACACTTAATTAAAATAGCATATCTTAATAATGTAAAGGAAAATATTTTATAATAAAATAATAGATATTTAATATGTAAAAATTTAGAAACAGCTTCATGAGCAAACAGATTAAGTAGTCATACATGCTTGTGCCTATATGTAATACCACTTTGAATACAAGTGCAGTGATAACTCATGTTGTATGAGTGAATCACATCACAAATGGTAATATTGTTATTGACATGATTTTCCAAAGTAGTAAACAATTTTTGGTAAAGTTTCTAACTAAACAAAGTGGATTTAAATATAGTTACATTCTTGGAAAAACTGTGCAAAAATGCTTTGTTATATATAAAATGGAGTTCGAAATAGATTTCTCACCTGTACAAGTATCTGACAGAATATTCCAAAGTCATTCAGACTATATATAGGAGGATCATTTTTCAGAACTGTCACATATACTGCAGTATGTCCTTCAGTGTCTGGTCTCCGCCTTTTCCAGTCATGATAATTACCATAACAAGCAAAGAGCAGTCCTGTACCAGCCTTCATGAGGTTGCTTCCCCAATACCAACTATTAATCTTTCATGTAACCTCCTGGGAACACAGTTTAGCTTTTGCCTCTAAGACTTTTAAATCAAGAAAAGCAAAACATTAAATAAATTAACTCCAAGTCTGTGCTGTACCCTAGGCTGAAATTTAACTCCAATCTATTTATTTCCTATTTCAGAATGGGTTCAGTGCGCACCAGAAGTTATAAAATGAGATAAATAATAGTCTAAGACTCAGCAGCCTGGCTGTATTCTACGTTTAACTGAAAACCTCCCTTGTTTTGAAGCTCCCAGGAACTACAACCCAGATGTTAAATCCTCTCTCTTTTGTATGTTAAAGTCCAAAGAAAACATTCTTCTACTGTTTTTTGTTGTTGTTGTTGTTGTTATTGTGACAGAGTCTCAATCTGTCACCCAGGCTGGAGTGCAGTGGCACAATCTCAGCTCACTGCAAGCTGTGCCTCCCAGGTTCAGGTGATTCTTATGTGCCAGGCTCCCAGATAGCTGGGGTTACAGGTGCACACCACAACACCTGGCTAATATTTTTGTGTATATATATGTGTATTTTTGAGACAGAGTCTCTCTGTTGCCCAGGCTGGAGTGTAGTGGTGCCATCTCAGCTCACTGCAACCTCCACCTTCTGGATTCAAGCAATTCTCCTGCCTCAGCTTCCCAAGTAGCTGGGATTACAGGCGTGTGCCACTACCCAGCAAATTTTTGTATTTTTAGTAGAGATGAGGTTTCACCATGTTGGCCAGGCTGGTCTCAAACTCCTGACCTCAAGTGATCCACCCACCTTGACCTCCCAAAGTGCTGGGATTACAGGATGTGAGCCACCACACACTGTCTCTTCTACTGTTTTTAATATAATGGATATTATCTCAGTAATATAATTCTGAAAACCTTGGAGTAGCTTTATCCTTATGCTTTTCTTCCAGATGCAGTAGCCCAGGCCAAGTAACACCGAACCGGTAGCACATCAGGAGAGAGCTAGTGGGCACAAATGTATCAGACCAGCATGTGTCAAGCCACCCCAAGTTAGTCACTCCCAGGGAATAGCTTCCTGCTATACCAGTTAGGCTGTATATTATTGCACCTTGTGAGGAGGTCCATCTTTGTCTCCTTCTAGAATCATTGTGTCTCCTCTTCCCAGGAGGCTTTGTATTCCGGAAGGCATCAGACCTATCCAGGTACTCTTGGCCTCTTCACAACACCATTTACACACTAAGTACCAGCTACTAGGTCAAAGGTTTGGTAGTCGCTTCTTTGGACAAAAATCACTTTATGTGCTGTGCTACAGAACCAGCAGAGCCACTGAGATCCCATATATCTAGTAGGCATATGTTTGGACACTCACTTCACTACCCAGGTCTTATACTTGTCTGCATTCTGATTTCTCTTTAAAATGTATTTCTCGAAAGAGTCTTTTTCCCACCCTCATCTCCAGTCCCCCCACCCCCGACCCCCAGAAATCAGAGATTGATCCTTTGGGAGTGAGATTCACAGACTGCATCATTTAGAAGCCCGTCCCAGCAGCATTTCCTACACTGGTTCCCAGTTCCCTGGGCTGTAGCTTAATCCCACAATGTCATAAGGAATTGTTTTGGTTTGGGATCATTTAGGTGGTAACTACTTTGGTCCATAAGTATACTTTTTAGGATTTATCTTCCAAAAATCTTCAAGTTGCCAGTGTATAACTTTCATGAAGGCAGATGGGAGGAGGCCATGCTGTGTGTGACCACTGCTTATTCTCTGCAGAACAAAATGTCCATCAGAATATCTGTTAGGTTCTGTAAGCTCCTAAACAATTTTTTAGAAGCTCCATCTGTTCTTAGTGACTGTGGTATATAGTGCAGAGTGTCCAATATTTTGGCTTCCCTGGGCCACATTGGAAGAATTGTCTTGGGCCACACATAAAATATGATAGATTTTCTTGGGCCACACATAAAATAATGATAGCTGATGAGCTATAAAAAAAAAAAATCGCAAAAGACCTCAATGTTTTAAGAAAGTTTATGAATTTGTGTTGGGCCGCATTCAAGGCTGTCCTGGGCTACATGTGGCCCACAGGCTGCCGGTTGGACAAACTTGGTGTAGTGTCTCCTGTGTGTAAGGACGTGTGTTGAATATCAGTAGATCCTCAGTGAACCCAGTCAAGTTAGTCCTCTGAATTGATTCTAGAGAATTTAATTTCATTAAATTAAATACACTTACCCTGACAGATTGCATTTGAGGCATAAGGCAAAGAAATTAAGGCTGCCTGATAGGTTTCGGGTGTGAGCAGCTAGATACATGGTGGTACTATTTACTTAAAGATTTAGGAGGAAACAAGTTTAAGTGGGAAGACCAAGAGTCAATTTTGGATATGTTAAGTTTGAGCTGCCTTGTAGACATCAAGAGAACAGTAGGATATATGAATCTGAGGCTCGGGGCCCAAGATAGTTTGGGACGTTAAAGCATACATATGATATTTAATGGTCTGAATGGGAAATGAGGGAGTAAGGCAGTTATAATAAGCATGGACAGCTGTACTGAGAAATTTTGCTGTGGTGGGAAGCAGAGAATTGGGTAATTGTTGAAAGGAGTTTTGTGGTCAATTTAGAGATCTTTTAAAATGGGAGATATCAAAGCATGTTTGTAAGCAGAAAGTAATGAATCAGAACAGAGGGAAACATTGATGCATTAAATAAGTAGGATAATTACAAGAATTGATTTCTGGAATTGGTGAGATGATATGATGGGCTCTTCAGTACAGATGGAAAAGTTGGCCATGTATAGGCACAGTTCCATTGTGACTGGAAAGGAGGCCTGGAAAACGGACACAGATTGGCCAGGTGCAGTGGCTCATGCCTGTAATCCCAGCACTTTGGAAGGCCAAGGCTCTCAAGGTCCTCAAGGATCACTAGAGGTCAGAAGTTCGAGACCAGCCTGGCCAATATGGCGAAACCCCATCTCTACAAAAAATACAAAAATTAGCTAGGTATCATGGCAGGCACTTGTAGTCCCAGCTTCTCAGGAGGCTGAGGCAGGAGCATCGCTTGAACCCAGGAAGCAGAGCTTACAGTGAGCTGAGATCAAACCACTGCACTCCACCCCATCTCAAAAAAAAAGAGAAAAAAAGAAAACGGACACAGATTCAGGTAGGCTGTATTTGGTAAAGGGCATAAGGGAGTGCTGGTCTGATTCCTTCCATTTCCACATTAAATTATGAAGCAGGGTCATCACAATTGAGGATCAAAGAAGGTAGTGGTGGAGGTTTGAGGAGGGAGGGGAAGATGTGAAATAGTCTTTTCAGATTGGGAAAGTGAAGTTATTAGGAAAACAAAATAGAATTTCTAAGCATTATTGAGTATCCATTTGTTTGTATAATGAAATTGGTCACAAGTTCATAGATTTTTCATCTTTTTTTAATCTTAGCACCCTGATATGTATGAGAGAGCAGTGCTAAGAAAAGATCATCAGAAGAAATACGGAGCAACAGTTGATCTTTGGAGCATTGGGGTAACATTTTACCATGCAGCTACTGGATCACTGCCATTTAGACCTTTTGAAGGGCCTCGTAGGAATAAAGAAGTGATGTAAGTGGTTTCCCGATCTAAAATCAGAGAAGCATTTAAAAAATGATTTCTATCTAGGTTCATCTTATTGTTAGTGGTTTATGCTAATGAAAATTGGTTTAACAATCATTTCTGATATTTTAAGCTACCTGAGTTTTTAAAAAGAATGCAGCCTTATAAAAGTATGCATAATTTTCCATGTTATGTTTAAATATCTTATATACACAGTATAAATGGCATTCAGTCTTTGGCCCATCATTAAAAATGTACTGCTTTCTAGACTTATTTCAGCTCACTGTTTATTTCACTCTGCGTACTCATCAGCACTTTTCTCCCATACAACTGAAAAAAATAATACAGTTCTGTGGAATATTAGAATCATTACCATATCTAAAACATCAGTCTTACCCTAAAGTGAACTGATTTCTTTTACCATTTAAAAAATAACATTTTGGGCCAGGCATGGTGGCTCACGCCTGTAATCTCAGCACTTTGGGAGGCTGAGGGAGGAGGATCGCTTGAGCCCAGGAGTTCAAGACTAGCCTGAGCAACATGAGGGTTTTGTAGAGACCCTGTCTCTACAAAAAAAATACAAAAATTAGCCAGGGGTGGTGGTATGCTCCTGTAGTCCCAGCTACTCAGGAGGCTGAGGTGGGAGGATCACCTGAGCCCAGGAGATTGAGGCTGCAGTGAACTGTGATTGCACCACTGCGCTCCAGCCTGGGCGACAGAGTGAGACCCTGTCTCTAAATAAATAAATGAAAGAAACTTAAAAATAACACTTTGGCAATAATGTAACATTAAACTTTTTTTTTCCAGTGTTGCAGATTTGGGCCAGACACTTACATATTTTACTAGTATAATGTATATTAATTTATGTATTGTCACAATTTTTTTTTTAATTTCCATTTTTATTTTAGACTCAGAGGGTATGTATGAAGGTTTGGTTAAAAGGGTATATTGTGTGGTGCTGAGGTTTGGGCTTTTACTGATCCTATCACCCAGATAATGAACATAGTACCGAATAAGAAGTGTTTGGCCCTTGTCTCCCTCCTTACTTTTGGAGTCCCCATTGTCTATTGTTTCCATCCTTATGTCCATCTTTGATGCATTAAATAAGTGGGATAATTACAAGAATTGATTTCTGGAATTGGCGAGACAATATGATGGGCTCCACGGCACAGATGGAAAAGTTGTGAACCCAAGATTTAGCTCTCACTTTAAGTGAGAACATAACAGTATTTGGTTTTTTATTTCTGCATTAGTTCACTTAGGCTAAAGGTCTCCAGCTGCATCCATGTTGCTGCAAAGGATATGATTTCATTCTTTTTTATGGCTGCATAGTATTCTATGGTGTATATGTGCCACATTTTTGTTATCCAATCTGCCATTGATGGGAACCTAGATTTATTCTATGTGTTTGCTATTGTGAATACTGCTGGGATAAACATACAAGCGCATGTGTCTTTTCAGGTAGAACAATTTATTTTTCTTTGGTTATATACCCAGCAATGGGATTGTTGGGTCAAATGATAGTTCTCTTTTTAGTTATTTGAAAACTCCAAGCTGCTTTTCATAGGGGCTGAACTAATTTGCATTCTCACCAATAGTGTGTAATTATTCTCTTTTCTCCACAACCTCACCAGCATCTGTTATTTTTTTGCTTTTTTATAGCCATTCTGACTGGCGTGAGATGGTATCTCATTGCGGTTTTGATTTGCATCTCTTTCATGATTCGTGGTTTTTTCATGTTTGTTGGCAGCAGCTTGCATAGTCTTCTTTTGAGGAGAGTGTGTTCATGTCCTTTGCTCACTTTTTAATGAGATTTTTTTTTCTTGTTAATTCGTTTAAGTTCCTTGTAGATTCTGGATGTTAGTCCTTTGTCAAATGCATAGTTTACAAATAATTTCTCCCATTCTGTAGGTTATCTGTTTATTCTGCTGAGAGTTCTTTTTGCTGTGCCAAAGCTCTTTAGTTTACTTCTCATTTGTCTATTTTTTATTTTGTTGCATTTGATTTTGGGGTCTTCGTCATGAATTATTTGCCTAAGACAGTGTATAGAAGAGTATGTCCTATATTTTCTTCTAGAATTTTTGTAGTTTGAGGTCTTACAGTTAAGTCTTTAATTCATCTTGAGTTAATTTTTGTATATGGTAAGAGGTAGGGGTCTAGTTTTATTCTTCTGCATATGGTTAGCCAGTTTTCCCAGCACCATTTATCAAATAGGGTATCCTTTCCCCATTATTTATTTTTGTCAACTTTGTCAAAGATATGTTGGTTGTAGATGTGTGGCTTTATTTTAGGAGTCTCTATTCTATTCCATCAGTCTGTGTATCTTTTTGTACCAATACCATGCTGTTTTGGTTACAGTAGCCCTGCAGTATAGTTTGAAGTCAGCTAATGTGATGCCTTCAGCTTTGTTCTTTTTGCTTAAGACTGCCGTGGCTATTCAGGCTCTGTTTTTGTTCCATATGAATTTAGAATAGTTTTTTCTAATTCTGTGAAAAATAACATTAATAATTTGATAGGAATAGCATTGATTCTGTAGATTGCTCTGGGCAGCATGGATATTTTAATGATATTGATTCTTCCAACCCATGAGCATTGAATGCTTTTCCATTTGTTGTGTCATTTATGATTTCTTTCAGCGGTATTAGATCTTGTAGTGATCTTTCAACTCCTCAGTTAAGTGTATTCCTAGGTATTTTTGTGTCTGTGTGTGGCTTTGGTAAACGGGATTGCGTTCTTGATTTGGTTCTCAGCTTTATCTGTGTATAGAAATGTTACTGATTGTTGTACATTTATTTTGTGTCCTGAGATTTGGCTGAAATTATTTATCAGGTCTAGGAGTCTTTTGGCGAAATCTTTAGGGTTTTCTAGGTTTAGAATCATATTGTCAGTGAAGAGGGATAATTTGACTACCTCTTTTCCTATTTGAATGCCTTTTATTTTTCTCTTGCCTGATTGCTCTGGCTGGGATTTCTAGTACTATGTTGAGTAGGAGTGGTGAGAGTGGGCATCCTTGTCTTGTCTCAGTTCTTAAGGGGAATTGCCCATTCAGAATGATGTTGGCTATTGATTTGTCATAGATGGCTCTTATTATTTTGAGATATGTTCCTTCTGTGCCTACTTTGTTGAGGTGTATTGCCATAATTATTATGAAATAGTTACTGTGTATAAAGTCATTTTTTGTAAGCCAAGGAAAAGAGAGATGGATTTCTAGATGTGAAATTAATTGTACAAATAATCTATAATTGACCATACTTCTTTTTATTTTAAAAGACATTAGTGAATAATCTTGTTTCATGAGAAAGCCAAACCGCATACACATAAAACTATGATGTGAAGAATATTGAGTTTAGTGAATGGACAACAACTACTGACAGCCTAACCTATCCAACCATTCTTTTAGGTCTTAACATATTTCTCAGACCTTTATATATTTGGCCCTACCTTTTGTTTTGTTTTGTTTTTTTGAGACAGAGTCTCACTCTGTTGCCCATGCAGGAGTGCAGTGGCCCGTTCTCACTTCACTGCAACCCCCACCTCCCAGGTTCAAGCAATTCTCTTGCCTTAGCCTCCCAAATAGCTGGGATTACAGGTGCCCACCACCATGCCCAGCTATTTTGTACTTTTAGTAGAGATGGGTTTCACCATGTTGCCCAGGCTGGTCTCGAATGCCTGGCCTCAAGTGATCTGCCCCCCACTCCTTGGTCTCCTAAAGTGCTGGCATTATAGTTGTGAGCCACCGTGCCCAGCCTGGCTCTATCTTTTATGAAGCAAACATGACTTTAAGTAATAATCACAACTGTAAAAATATAATTATTTAATCTCTTCTCAAAAAATGGAGGGAGAAGCATGTTTTTCCTTTTGTTGGTTGGAGGAAGTAAAACCAATTCAGATGGTACAATGACTTTTTCTATAATTTGGGTATTTAAATGTTTTCCAGCAAGGACAGTGTACTTATTTATGGGAAGAATAACCTATTCAACTGTACTGATGATTTTGGCATAGCATCCTATTGAGCCTTTTTTATGTCATTGCCATTTTAATGAAATCTCTTCATTAACAAAAACTGATAATTTGTGTTTTTCTCATTACACATAAATTGTGCCTAACAGTTAATCCTACTTTTCTCATCATAGATAGTATCAGCATTTAAAGCAATGTCAGCATTTCTTGCTGCCCTAAAAATGGTTTACATAAAAGTGTGTGCTGCTCCCTAATAAAGGAAACATGTGACTCATAAGCAGCTAGGAATACCTGATGATTTTATGTGACACCCTTGTGGGCAGATATACCATTAGAAGAATTCTACTTTATTAGAAACTCAACTTTTTATGAATATTGATGCTAAAGAATGTTCAGAGGTGATTGAAGTACTCAGTAATAATAATTGTTTTACTTCACTAATGAAGGATGTATTCATCCAACATTATAGTAGTGCTGATTTCTTAGCATCTCATTTGCATGTTATGAATGTACTTTACATGTGGATCTTATCAAAATTAAACTTTTTTAAAACCTGTAAGCATTCCCTTAAGACTTTTGCTATTTATTCTGTTCATTTCTCTTTTGCATTAATCTCACATATGTGCCCTTACTCCTTAGATAGTTCTCACATGAACACACCTTATTTTCCATATTAATTTCCTCTTTGAAAAAAATCTCTTAAGGCAAAAATCCTGACTGCCACTACTGAGGAAGCAGCAAATGGTCTAAATCAGTTGTAGTGGTTTGTTCTATTTTTTAAAAAAATATTGATATGCTCAGAGCATATTTAACGTTAAACAAATACGCTTTTTCAAAAATGTGCAAGTGTGTGTTTACCAATGTACAAAGAATCTGATACTGTGCTCTGTATACTATAATCTTTTTTGTTTTAAAGAATGCTATTCATTCTGCAGAAACTTTAGTTGTGCCTTTTAATAATATGGGTAAGAGGGATTAGATGCTTTTTTTTCATGGTCTAGAGACATTCTGTGACATAACTTATTTTGTGTTTGCTCGGTTTTTTCAGATGGAAAAATTAATATTTTTGTTGTGAACATCAAGATGCTGTTATAAAGCACTGTGAGATCGCAAATGAAAATTAACTATGGCATATATAAATAACTGTACAACCACTATTGTACTTCAGTCAGTCAGATTCAAAGTATTTTGATTGTTTTATGGATCCTGTGAGCATCAATCACAAAGTTTCATCTAGTAGATAATTGTAGGTGCAATTGAGGAAATACTTTTGCATAGCCCATTAATAAGTCATGCAAAAATGAACTGCTTATTTTATTCTGCTTTTGTTCCTCCCAAGGTATAAAATAATTACAGGAAAGCCTTCTGGTGCAATATCTGGAGTACAGAAGGCAGAAAATGGACCAATTGACTGGAGTGGAGACATGCCTGTTTCTTGCAGTCTTTCTCGGTAAGTGTAGTGTACCTGATTCTCATCTTTTGCACTTGGGTGTTAGAAATCTTTGTTGCCTAAAATACTATTCAAATACTGAAGTGTAGTTTGATTTTATTTTAATTGCTTTGATAAATGATTTTTGTCTTTGCTGCTATACGAATAATTTCCCCAGATCTGCATTAGGACACAGGGCATACATTTTTGAGATTGGTAATCACTGGTCTTGGAATTCTTCCCAGTGTGGGGATCCTGCTCAGGACCTTGGTATCTTTTATAATGACCTCCATATTGATGGATAACAAATAGTGGATTGGATATGCGTAAATTTCTCAACTGGAGTTGTAAAAAGCAAACAATGGAGAGATTTAGTATTATCTTCATTTTTAAAAATTCAGATTATTCAAAGGGTGAGAAATAATAGTTTTTTGTACTCTTTAGAATTTCAAATGTTCGTATGGGTCTTTAATGTCTCAGACAGAAATCAAAACAATTATATTGTCATTTAAGAATCCTGTTACCCCAAAGAAAGAATTAAGGTAAAAGAAATTAAAAGTAGAAAGTAAATTATTTTCACTCTGGAAATAAAGCCAAGACATGCATCAGTATTTAGTATTTGTGATTACTGAATTAACTTCCATTTTTCCTGACTGAGTATGGTAGTTATATAATACTTAATTGGACACAGGTTATGAGTTACTGGTTTAACACCTATTTTTAGTTGTGGGTGCTTTTTGTATGACTTTAAAGAAATAAATATATAAAACAAGCTAATAAAATATCACTTATCATTTTATATGTTGGGTTCTGTGAAAATTCATTTAAACCAAGAGTTCCAATGCTGAAATCATTTTCAAAAACCACTGTTGTTAACAGTTTTGTGTGTGTGTTATTTTAAAAAGTTTCCAAAATGAAATTGTCATGTAACTAGATTACTAAGAGGAATTCATTGTGTTGGAGAGCAGAAATTTAATATTATAATTGTGATTTGTGTTAAATTTTGATTTAGGAAATACTTATTTTGGGGATCTCAGGCAAAACTGATAAAATGTAAAGGGCTCAGGAAATGAACACTTGCTGATAAGTAATTAAATTGCCAAAACTCAGAATCAAAAACATCTGATGATCTGAACTGTAGCATATTTCTGGAGGGTGACAGGCTTTATCTATTGAATCAGTCTTTAGCATACCAAGTTATAAATTCTTTGAGAAAAATTGCTTAGATGCCAGAAAGTATATTATATAATTTTTTTTGTTTTAAATAGTAAGAACTTTAAGTACTACAAATTAGCAGTGAAAACAACTACCAGAAATGTAATGGGGCTTGGCACGGTGGCATACACCTATAATCCCAGCTACTCAGGAAGCTGAGGCAGGATACTTGAGCCCCAGAGTTTGAGACTGCAGTGCATAAAGCATCTGTGAATAGCTGCTGTACTTCAGCCTGGGCAATATAACAAGACCCCATTTCTAGAAGAGAAAAAGCTATGATCCCTTATTCATTGATGAGTGATATTAAATGAAGGTTATCTAGCTTTCTGAAAAGTTGACAGATTTTGAATTTTTAAAATTAGTCTAATATAGTAATAGTGACAGTTCCTTCAATTTGCTGGTATTATGATTTGTAACCTAGACAGAATATGACATAGTCACTCTTCAAGTAACTTTTCAATACTGTTTTAGGGGTCTTCAGGTTCTACTTACCCCTGTTCTTGCAAACATCCTTGAAGCAGATCAAGAAAAGTGTTGGGGTTTTGACCAGTTTTTTGCAGAAACTAGTGATATACTTCACCGAATGATAATTCATGTTTTTTCACTACAACAAATGACAGCTCATAAGATTTATGTTCATAGCTATAATACGTAAGTATCTCTTTCTGTTTTCTTCTTAAATCAACATATTCTGTTATATAATATTTTCCTAAGTTAGGAAAAGAAATAGAAAAGATGCCTCAGCTTCACCAAAAGCACCCACTTCCCACATAGAAAATTATATTTAAGTGCTTAGTAAATTCCTTTTCACTTATTTTTGGAATAAAAGGATTGATATTCTAAAATGTATAGTTAAATTAGCTTGTTTCTTTAACTGTAAGTTTTACAAAACTACTTTCATTGCTGTGCCTTCTTTCAAGTTACATAATCACATAACCACAAATGGCATCTACCAATAAACGAGCCAGGTTTTACTAAGTGTACTATCCTGCCATGTTTAAAATATCAAAGCCTAAGTCTTCATAGTTTGCATGGTTATTTGCCTGTGATAACCATATGCAGATAATATGGTTATTATTAACCATAATAATGGTTAAAGCACCTTGTGCTGGAGAAATAATCAGTGTTTGTTTTATGTAAACAAAAACACATTACACCCATGTGATTAAAAAAACTGCTCATGTGATAAAACTGCATATAACATTTTGGTCAATGATGGACCACATATATGACAGTGGTTCTGTAAGATTGTAATATCATATTTTTACTGTACCTTTTCTATGTTTAGATATGTTCACATATACAAATACCGTTTCTAATTGTGTTACAGCTGCCTGCAGTATTCAGTACAGTAACATGCTGTACAAGTTTGTAGCCTAGGAGCAGTAGGCTAGATACCATATAGCCTAGGTGTGTAGAAGGCTATACCATGTAGTTTTCTGTAAATATACTCTATGATGTTCACACAGTGATGCATTTTTTAGAACTGTTCCCATCATAAGCAATGCATGACTGTACACGTACATACACTTGCATGTAAAAATGAGTGTACTGGCGTTAATAGCTGGTTGTGATGCTTTGCTGTATGTAGGATGTCACCACTGGGGGAACCTGGGGGAAGAATATATGGTGTCTCTCTTCATCATTTCTTAGAACTGCATGTGAATCTCCAATGATGTCAAAATGTTTTGTGAAAAGCTCACCCAGTGTGACTATAGTTAATAATAACTTAACTGTACATTTTAAAATAGCTTAAAAAGTACAATTTGATTGTCTGTAGCACAAAAGATAAATGCTTGACTGGATGGATATCTCATTCTCCATGGTGTGATTATTACGTATTGCATGTCTGTAACAAAACATCTCAGGTACCTCATAAATATATACATTTCCTGTGTACACACAAAAATTAAAAATGGAATTTTTTTAAAAGGTCACCCAGTGGAGGCTTGTAGAGCCAAATTACAATATTGTTGCTGAAACATTTCTTTCGATGTCATTGATCTATTCATGGGGAAGCTATCTTTTCCCCTAAAGCATCATTTTGAAAATACCTAGTTTTATTAATTTATTTAACAAACATATAGTCACATAACAAATGCTATTCTTGATTCTTTACGTATTTAAGCCATTTAATCCTCACAACAATTCTGTGAAGTGGGTACTGTTATTATTTCCATTTTACTGATGAGGAAACAGTGCAGAGGAGTTAAGTCACTTATGGTTATATACGAGGTTAGTGGAAGAGCTGCGATTTGAACCCAAGTATCTGATTCAAGTCAGTGCTCTAAACCTCTCTGCTATGTTGATTCTCTATTTGAAAATATTAAGAATCTTGGCCAGGCGTGGTGGCTCACACCTGTAATCCCAGTACTTTGGGAGGCCAAGGCGGGTGCATCACTGGAGGCCAGGAGTTCGAAGCCAGCCTGGCCAGCATGGTGTAACCCTGTCTCTACTAAAAATACAAAAATCAGCTGCGCATGGTGGTGCACGCCTGTAATCCCAGCTACTTAGGAGGCTGAGACACAAGAATCGCTTGAACCCAGGAGGCGGAGGCTGCAGTGAGCCAAGATCGCGCCACTGCACTCTAGCCTGGGCAACAGAGCGAAACTCTGTCACACACACACTCAGAGAGAGAGAGAGAAAATATTAAGAATCATGTATATTACACAGGTATCCAAACATAAAAATACTTTAGAATTGCTTACTATATGGACAGGTTACATGGAATGGAGTTTGTAGTATCCACATTAACAAAGCAAGTTTATATGGACTGGTTATGATCTTAGGAATATGAATTAGAAATGGATGTTGCACTCATTAAAAAAATTACACTTTATCCCCAGTTATAGTGTCCTTTTGAATTTTTCTCACACAGTGCTACTATATTTCATGAACTGGTATATAAACAAACCAAAATTCTTTCTTCAAATCAAGAACTTATCTATGAAGGGCGACGCTTAGTCTTAGAACCTGGAAGACTGGCACAGCATTTCCCTAAAACTACTGAGGAAAACCCCATATTTGTAGTAAGCCGGGAACCTCTGAATACCATAGGATTAATATATGAAAAAAGTAAGTTGGGATTTTTCTTGTCGTCGTTACTAGCCATTAGAAAAATACAACCAGCCTGGGCAACATAGTGAGACCTTGTCTCTGCAAAAAATAAAACAAAAATTAGCGGGGCATGGTGGCTTGCACCTGTAGTCCCAGCTACATGGGAGGCTGAAGTAGGAGCATCGCTTGAGCCCAGGAGGCAGAGGTTTCAGTAAGCCGAGATTGCACCACTGCACTCCAGCTTGGGAGACAGTTTGGGACCCTGTCTCAGAAACAAAAAAATAAATCCACAAAATCTGTCATTGTAGAAATGATTGTCATCTTTATAAAGCTGATGATCACATTAGTGTAAAATTTTCATAAACATTAAAATTTTCTAAATTACTGTAGTTGAGAGTAATCGTAAAATTGGAAAAGGCTTGTAGACATCATTTGACTTCAAATATTTTGTTTCATAAAATGATAAAGTCATTTGTCATACGTTTCACTGTAACTCTCTTTTAAAAGTGTTTTGCTAACACTCAAAATTACCTTTTATATCATAAATTTCAGCAAATGTTTTTTGTTTCCAGTATGTATAGAATATTGTGCCAAGCTTTAGAGTCTAAGAAAAATTAGATCTGCATTTTGAGAATCTTTTAAATTATTCATTCTACTGATAGAAACAAAATGAATCCCCCAAAATTTTACGGTTCTATTTGAAGGTTGGGATTTGATGTAGATTTAAAGAGAAGCATTGAACTCATTGTGTTGGAGTATTTTTAAGGAAAAAAATAAAACTCCTTAGAAATATTGGAAGTAATTTGTTAGAGAATGAACATTATTGTTTGAAGTAATTTTTTTATCACAAAAAGTACATTAAAGATTTTTCCACTAATGTTTAATTTAGACATTCTGTTTGCTCTGTAAAGGATAAAGTGATTTTTTCAAAAAGTTTTCTTTCTCATTTCATTTTACTTCATATTTCAGTTTCCCTCCCTAAAGTACATCCACGTTATGATTTAGATGGAGATGCTAGTATGGCTAAGGTTAGTATTTAATTGAATTACTATGTAAACATCTGAATTTAATGTATCTTATCAATAATGGAAGCAATAACATGTATTGTGTCTTCATGTATGCCTATATGACTTAGGAAATTATTCACTTAAATTGATACCCTTTCCATGTTATTTTATGGGCTTTCTTTTTTACTTTTTATTCTTTCTTGAATTCATTATGTAAGAAAATTCTCTCCATTGAGACAGTGCATGGTTAGATAATGTTAAGGATAACATATTTATTATATTTATATCTATTTTTAACTCTTAGAAATTGGTTTGTTGTGTTTTTAATTAACCTGATAAAAATGTATAAGCTTGAATAATTTTGTGTAAAAGTTTTTCTTACCCTGTACCACAATTAGCACCAAATATTGACATTTTATTTCTTTATTAGGCAATAACAGGGGTTGTGTGTTATGCCTGCAGAATTGCCAGTACCTTACTGCTTTATCAGGAATTAATGCGAAAGGGGATACGATGGCTGATGTAAGTAATAGATTGAAATTTTGAAATTGATTTTCTTGTAGATGTTGCCCCATCATTGATATTTTCTCTCTTCAAACTAGTTAGGTTAGGTACTTGATTTTTATTATAATACATTTGTTTCACATTTCATTTATAAAACATTTAGCAGCTCTTTTTTCATGAGTCCTACAATGACCTTGTGAAACAGAACAAATAGTATCTGAATTTTAAAACTTACACCACGCTATAGGATGTGATGGCAAATGCATTTCTTTTCCTAGGACCTTGACTCGGTTGTCATTTCACTATGTTAGAAGTCTTTGGCTTGTTAGAATCCAGTACAATCTGTACTTTCTAGCGTTTAAGTCCTCAGAGTCTTCCTTAATTTCCTACCATTTTCCCAAATGAAGTACACAGTCCTTTTTTATCACACCATATTTTTTTTTTCTTTTTGAGACAGTGTCTCGGTGTCACCCAGGCTAGAGTGCAGTGGCACAATCACAGATCACTGCAACCTGAAACTCCTGGCCTCAAGTGATGCTACCACCTCAGCTTCCCAAGTACCTGGGACTACAGGCATGCCCCACCATGCCCAGCTAATTTTTTTTTTTTTTTTTTTTTAAAGAGATGAGGGTCTAGTTATGTTGCCCAGGCTGGTCTCAAACTCTTGGGCTCAAGCAATCAGCCCGCCTCAGCTGGGATTATAGGCATGAGCCACCACACCCAGCCTTCACAACATTGAGATATAATTCATATACTATTAATTCATGCATTTAAGCATACAGTTTAGTGGTTTTTACTGTGTTCAGAGTTGTGCAGCCATCATCACTAATTTTAGAACATTTTCATCACCCCAGAAAGGATCTCTGCACCCATTAGTATTCACTCTCCATTTCCGCCTAAACAGCCCTGCCTCAGGCAACCACTAATATACTATTTGCCTGTTCCAGACATTTCATATAAATGAAATTATGCAATATGAATATATAATCTAACAAGCAATTTAAAAGCTAATTTTTAAAAACTAGACCGCTTAATATAGTTATTCTAGATCAGAATAACTAATCATCTAGTTTAAATAGTTTCTTCCTGAAAGTGACTCTAAGAAATGTAAGATGGATATAATTTTTTCCTGTTTTATACTTTTCATGATTTATAAATGTCATCTTTCCATCTGAAAAAAATGGAAAATACATGATCTCTTTTGGGAATTATGTTTATTTCTATACGTCATTGAAAGCTTTTGAATTTTGCATACACATCATGATGGCCTTGTGGCCAACAGATGCTAAGAACTTTGTTTTCTGCGCTCATGTCGCTATGTATGTGCCCTTGGACTGTAATGCTTTTGACAGTTTATGTATGCCTACCTCATACCCACCCCTTCTTGCAAAAATATATATGAAGCATTTCATCACTCTTTTTAGGCTCCTTCTTTTTTTCTGTTAGCATTATATGAAACCCATAAATTTGTGTTTATATTTTTCACTGTGTTCACATATCTAAGTTCCTAAGCTTGTGCTTTTTTGTTCCACTAAGAATCTTCCTTGTTTTTACTGGTTTCTGGAAAAATCTCTATGTACTAACAATTTTCATTTTCTCTCTTATCTACCGTCAGTCGCTGATCCATGAAGCTTTTATTCCTTTTGCTTACTAGTTTATAGTCCAATAAGTCATGAGAAAATAGTTTTAATGTAAACCACTGTTGGCAAACATTTTCTGTGAAGACTCAGTCTAATATTTTAGACTTTGTGGACTGCGTATGGTCTCTTCTTTGTTTTTACAATCTTTAAAAGTGTAATGTTAGCTAATGGGCCATATAAAAGCAGGCCTCAAGTCTTAGTTTGTTGACCCCTGATGTAGATCAAAAGCCCTTCAATTATATATTACTGTGTCATCCTTCTTCAGAGATCACATCATAAGTTGAGCATCCCTAATTTTAAAAATTCCCTAATAAAAAAGTCACAACTTTTTGCTCAAAGTTTATGCTCAAAGGAAATACTCATTGGAACATTTTGGATTCTTAGATTAGGGATGCTTAACCAGTATGTATATATGCAAATATTCCAAAATCCAAAATCTGAAATACTTCTGGTCCCAAGAATTTCAGATAAGAGATATTCAACCTGTAATTGTTTTGAAGTATGAATCAGACAGTAGTCTACTATGAGTAGTAAAAATTAATTCTGGTGGTGTAAACTGTAATGCTCTACAAACTATTTGTGTAATTGTAGATTAGTTTTTACTTCTTAATGTAATATTAATACCTTAGGTTTCTAAACTGTTAACCTAAGTAGTAATGGTTTATGAAAATATGAGTTCCCTAGATATATATAAGGGTTACAGAAATGCTTTTAATAATAGTGTCTCAAAAACTGTGAACTGACTAATATCAAGAATATTGTTATAAAATGTTTTTGAACAGTAGTACTGCAGTATAATTAGTGAAAGATAAGAAAAAGTAACTCCTTACATAAAAAAATAATTTTCTTTTTTTAGTGAATTAATTAAAGATGATTACAATGAAACTGTTCACAAAAAGACAGAAGTTGTGATCACATTGGATTTCTGTATCAGAAACATTGAAAAAACTGTGAAAGTGTGAGTAGACTACTTCCTTACTAGTAGGGGTTAACTTATTAAATGTTCCATTTCTGTTTAATTGATTTAGTTATCCTTGGCACAATATGGCATGCTGTGCTAGGGTTTATATTAAAGATCAGCGGCTGGGCACGGTAGCTCATGCCTGTAATCCGAGCACTTTGGGAGGCCAAGGTGGGTGGATCACGACCATCCTGGCCAACACGGTGAAACCCAGTCTCTACTAAAAATACAAAAATTAGCTGGGCGTGGTGGTACACGCCTGTAGTCCCAGCTACTCGGGAGGCTGAGGCAGGAGAATCACTTGAACCCAGAAGGCGGAGGTTGCAGTGAGCTGAGATCGTGCCACTGCACTCCAGCCTGGTGACAGAGCAAGACTCCATCTCAAAGAATAAAATAAAGATCAGCCTTAGATTAGTGATTACTTCATCATCACAAAGGCAGAAATGCCAGTTTTCTTGGTAAGAAATGAACACCATCTCTTAGTGGCATTTCCTCCCAGCCATTGGGTAGGAAAAGGTAGTGGGAAAAACATCTCATTTCTATCTTGTAAAACAGAAACTGCGAATAAGAAAATAAGAAACCTGTAATCAACAAAGGAAATAGGAGGAGGTATTCTAGAACAGCCTTTTAGTAGTATTTTTAGAAGTATAGGAATTACTTTTAGTTTATTCTTACTTGTGAATCTTATTCTTGAGAACGTGTTTTGAAAGAATGATATTTTTAACTGCCCTCTTTCTAGAATATACTATTTGTGCTGCAGAGGAAATACAATAAGTGAAATCAATAATCACTATTGACCTTCATTAATTCTGAAATGTATTTTTACTATTATCCTGACATATGATTACTTGAAATTAATTGGTCTTTTCTGTTTTATCCATCCCTTGATCTGCAAATTTGAAATAGAAGCAGATAAAATTCCTTCTTCAGGCAGGCATCATGGTTTTGTTGTTGCTGTTGTTGTTGCTGTTTTTTGAGACGGAGTCTCACTCTGTCATGTAGGCTGGAGTGCAGTGGCACAATCTCTGCTCTCTGCAACCTCCGTCTCCCGGGTTCAAGTGATTCTCAGGCCTCAGCCTCCCAAGTAGCTGGGACTACAGGCGCATGCCACCATGCCCGGCTAATTTTTTGTGTGTATTTTTAGTAGAGATGGGGTTTTACCACGTTAGCCAGGATGGTTTCCATCTCCTGACCTCGTGATCTTCCCACCTTGGCCTCCCAAGGTGCTGGGATTACAGGCGTGAGCTACCACACCTGGCCAGCATCAGGTTTTTTTTTTTTAACAATCTGCTGGCTTATAGACTTTGAATCAGTTTTTTACTTTTAAATGGTTATGATGAAAGCTCAAATTATTATTTATAAAGCATCTTTTTAAAACTGTGTATTGATTATACTCATTTAATTTTCTCTTTTGACTTTTCATATAGATATGAAAAGTTAATGAAGATCAACCTAGAAGCGGCAGAGTTAGGTGAAATTTCAGACATACACACCAAATTGTTGAGAGTAAGTATTTACAAAATTATGAAAATTGTAAGCTCATAACCTATTCCTTTGCTGGCACTATTAGATTTAAACGTTCTTAGGTGCTAGGCATGGTAGTACACACCTAGCTACTCAGGAGGCCGAGGCAGGAGGATCACTTGAACTGAGGCATTAAAGGCTGCCCCGAGTTATGATGGTGCCACTGCACCCTAGCCTGGGCAACAGCACGAAATCTTGTCTGTAAAATAAATAATTTAAATAAATAAACTTATAGATATGATGTTTCTCACTGCAGAGAAATAATATTTTCCCATCTTTAGAAACTTCTTTACAATATTAAATACTCTTACTGCCTTATATCATTATTAAATGATTGTTACTCTACAAACATATGGTTGTTATTTTTACTTTTTGTATAACATTATAGTGTAGGCATTTTCCAGGTTCTTTTGGTAACACCATTTTCTTAATGATACCATGTTGCAGCCAGTGGATTTATTACAGTCTTACTTATTATTCCTCTACTGTTGGTACTTTAGTTTGCTTTTCACTCTTCTATGTAATGCTGTAAGAAATGATTTTTTCCATAAACTGTTTTCGATATATTGGATGTATAAGTTAACACATTCTAAACATTAATGTTAAAAAAGACATAAAGCATAAAAACCAAGATATATATTTGATCATATAAAAATTTAAGCCAGGCACAGTGGCTCATACCTATAATCCCAGCACTTTGGGAGGCCAAGGTGGGGGTAGACTGGTTGAGCTCAGGAGTTAAGGCCAGTCTAGGCAACACGGTGAAACCCCATCTCTACCAAAAATAAAAACAAAACAAAAATTCTCAAGGCGTGATGGCATGCACTTGTAGTCCCATCTATTCGGGAGGCTTAAGTTGAGAGGATGACTTGAACTCAGAAGGCAGAGGTTGCAGGGAGCTGAGATTACGCCACTGCACTCCAGCCTGGGTGGCAGAATGAGACTCTGTTTCAAAAATAAAATAAAAATTTAAGATCTCTATATGTTTAAAAAATGTTAGAACGCAAATAAGTTGGGAAACTGTGATAAGGGGTTTTTTATAAAAATAACTCATACAAATTGATAAGGAAAATAGTCTGCAAAAAATAGATGAGCAAAGAACATTTAGAGACAATTTATAAATGAAGAAAATATATCTGGTGAAAACACTCTTGAAAAAAAATGCTCAAATCCCATAGCAAGAAAAAATTGCTTGTTATAACAGTAAGATACTATTTTTGTCTTTCAGATTTTCAAGGCTTAAAAAATTATAATGCCAGTGCTGACAAGAGTGTGGTTTAAAGAGCACTCTTGTTTTTTGCTAGTGGCAATGTCAGCTGCTACTGACAACATTATTTGAAAGGCAATAGTGTGTATCAGGACCTTTAAAATATTTGGACTTATTTATCCTTTAAGCCTAACCTTCATCCTTTCTTCATAAATTTTAGAAATACTGTATGCATTTCTGAGGTAGGTAAGTGATAAATTTCCTAAGCTTAAAATGAACAGAATCTTAGATGAGGTTTCTTTTCATTTTCTGTTTTTAAGAGGAGTTGCTTTGGTTTGGCCTCTTAAACAAGAGCACAAATCTTGCTACCTACACAGTTTGTGAGATGGAGAATTAACCACTTTTTACAGATAAGGAAACAAGATTAGAAATATTTTACATGTGGTTTTAGAAGGGTATTGAATGAAATGTTTTATAAGATGTACTAGTGCTGGTCTCATGTTTTATTATCATACTGTACCCTGGTGGAAATCAATGTAAGGAACTCTTTTGTATTTAAAAATGGAAATAATTACTGTGCCTTTGAATTGAAGTAATCTACAAAAGAAATGTGGTCCAGACTTTAGACTTTGTTGGTACTGTGATAATCATTTCTGGCTTTTGGCAACCTGGATCTGAACCTTTGGTTTTATTTAGCTTTCCAGTTCTCAGGGAACAATAGAAACCAGTCTTCAGGATATTGACAGCAGATTATCTCCAGGTGGATCGCTGGCAGATGCATGGGCACATCAAGAAGGCACTCATCCAAAAGATAGAAAGTAAGTTATAGCTTTATGCGTAGTTTCTGCTCTTATTAATGTCCTTTTTCACATTGACTCAGTTAATTTATTTGAGTTTTTCTTCCTTAAATAGTGTAGAAAAACTACAAGTCCTGTTAAATTGCATGACAGAGATTTACTATCAGTTCAAAAAAGACAAAGCAGAACGTAGTAAGTAAAATTTGCTGTTTGTTAATTTAATAAATCCTTCTTAGTAATTAGTTATAATTCAGTTAAAATAATTTGGCATATCTGTAAGGGTGGCTTCTTAAGCTGTTTGTTTCAGAGATATGATTCTATCAGGAAAAAGGTTGATTGTGCTAAAAAAAAAAAAAACCTATCCTTAAAATCAACCTTTTGGATACTTTAAATCAGGGTCATGAACTCCAGAACCTCTAAAGGCCAGGCAGGTAACAAAGGAATGAGATTGGCCAGTGGGGACTCATCTACAGGGGAGAGCCACTACTCAGATTCACCAAAGGTATTGCCCAGTCTTCCCATTTCTCAAAAAAAGCTAGAAATACAGAATTTGTTAGAAATATCTTGATTTTTAAATGTTAACAGTTAATTGTTTTTTACATTGTTATTTACAGACCAAATAAAAGCATCTGTGAGCCATAAGAAGCCCATGAACCACAAATCTATGACATCTGCTTCAAACTCTTAGCCTTTTTGAAGCAGTAATCTCGAAAGAAAATATATTGTATATAATGTTACGATTCTACATTAACAACAGTAATATATTTTCTTATTTCTAGGACTAGCTTATAATGAAGAACAAATCCACAAATTTGATAAGTAAGTATCCAGATTATGTTTAATAATTAGTTATTTTTGGTGCTATTTTGTTTATCTTTATTATGATTCTTCTTAAAGTTGAAATTAATTACAATTAAAAATACATTTTAATCTTGATTTTACAGGATTGTTACAATATGTACACATTTTTGAGGTTCACACATCTGTTCCCTAATTGGGAAGTTACCATGATGGGAGAAGGAGGCGGGAGAAAGATTACTGTTCCAGTCAGTCACCTTCTGCCTCATGTGCTCTGATTACAGAAGGACAGATAATAGAGCACAGGCGAGGGCAGACTTAACCACCATCTTAACTTTAACCTCATTCAATAGGCGTTTTTTTTACATCCATTTTGAACCTTCTCTTTATCTTCTTGCTGCTATAATGTCTTAGAAACGTTTACTTTCTACTGTAAATACTCTAAAGCCACAACAATCATTATAAGAAAAAGATACATTTCATATATTTGAAAATTTATAAATATCGAAAGTAGAAACAGTGACATTGGTTTAAGCGTCTTGGATTATTTCTAAATTACAGGCAAAAACTGTATTACCATGCAACCAAAGCTATGACGCACTTTACAGATGAATGTGTTAAAAAGTACGAGGCATTTTTGAGTAAGTCCGAAGAATGGTTGAGGTGAGTAAACTTTTGGAATGATTAGTGGTTGACTGCACAATATAAATGTACATTTGAAGTAAGAATGTTTCACTAGACTGCATATCAGTTGATTCTTCTTGGTTTTCAGAAAGATGCTTCATCTTAGGAAACAGTTATTATCTCTGACTAATCAGTGTTTTGATATTGAAGAAGAAGTATCAAAATATCAAGACTATACTAATGAGGTAGGTACAGCTATCAAAAGAAAAAAAGCTTTTTTCTCATTAGGAAAAATTAAAATTCTTCTCAGTTTATAACTGATAGTGATTGACAGGGGAGAAATGGGATATAATGCGCCTACATTCAGTTCTACTCACCAATTTTTAATATGTATTTTGAGCCAAGTTTTAAGAATGTAGATGTTTTACAACTAAAAACAGCTGATAAACCATTCTTTTATCAACTAAGAAAAGTTTCTTTCTTAAAAGGGTGTTGATTTAAGTATTGTATCATTGATAGTTTTGAAATCAAAATTTAAAGTTTTTATAAAGGACTTATTAAAAGCTGTAACACTTGATGTCAGATCTGTAGTAAGTACTTTTGTTCTGTGATTAATGTGGGGATTTTTTCTTTTTTTTTTTTCCCGGATGTTTTAGTTACAAGAAACTCTGCCTCAGAAAATGTTTGCCGCTTCCAGTGGAATCAAACATACCATGACCCCAATTTATCCAAGTTCTAACACATTAGTAGAAATGACTCTTGGGTAAGAAACTATCATTTGGAAACTGTAGTGTTTCCATTTGCTTTCATTGCAGTTTGTGCTCTTGCTCTTACATTTTGAAATTTTTTATGTTTGTTGTAATACAATGTTTAGTAAAGTTATTTACTGACTAGTTAAATTTAGAAAACTAAAACGTAAACATCCTTCTAAAACATTTGCATACTTTTTTTGAGCAAAAGTGCTTGTTTATTTTATATAGTATGAAGAAATTAAAGGAAGAGATGGAAGGGGTGGTTAAAGAACTTGCTGAAAATAACCACATTTTAGAAAGGTGAGTAATACAAAAATAATTATTATGATTTTCTTTGCAATTGAGTTCATACACATCTGTACTTATAGCTTCCCTGTGTCAATAGGTAAAGGGTCGTAAAGTCAGAACTCAGGTTTTTCTATGATTGCGTATTTGTGATGCCTTTTAATGGGTGATTAGTTCCGTTTTATAGAAGCACTGGTTAATCAAATTACTTGCTTATTTGAATCAGTTTGTAAAGATCAAACTCTATTTACATTATTTTTATAACTTAATTCATTGGAATCATAATTTTCAATTTGGTGAGTCAGAGTTGCCTGTTAAGATTCCAGCACTCTGGTGCTGAGTAGCTCACAGAGTCCTCTGCACACCTCCTTGCAGGTGAAAGCCATAGGTAAATGCAGTACTTTGAGGAGCTAGGTGTCTGCTTATTATCTGCAAAATCCTAATAGATAAGGCCAAAAGAGATTTGAAAACCTGAAGAGGCAATAAAGCAATTTTTGGATGGCTGTTTTCCTTATCCTGATTCCTCAGAGAAATTAAGTCATATTTGGCTCTTTAATAGAACCCTTTCTTTTTTAAGCCCTTAGGTGCTCCTCTGTGGGTTCTCAAACCCTTGTAATGCTAATAAAAATATTTCACATTTGGCCGGGCATGGTGGCTCACACCTGTAGTCCTAGCACTTTGGGAAGCTGAGGCAGGCAGATTGCCTGAGCTCAGGGGTTCAAGACCAGCCTAGGCAACATGGCAAAATGCTGTCTCTACCAAAAATACAAAAATTAGCCGGGCATGGTGGTGCACACCTGTAATCCCAGCTACTGGGGAGGCTGAGGCACGAGGAATCACCTGAATCTGGGAGGTGGAGGTTGCAGTGAGCCAAGGTCATGCCACTGCACTCCAGCCTGGGTGACAGAGCGAGACTCTGTCTCAAAAAAAAAAAAAAAAGGATATGGAATTTTTGGGTCAGAGAGTATGCCAATTTAAATTGTGTTGGGTTTTACTAATTTGGTTGTTTTTTTTTTTTTCCTGAGACGGAGTTTCTCCGTTGCCCAGCCTGGAGTCCAATGGCACAATCTCAGCTCACTGTAACCTCCACCTCACGAGTTCAAGTGATTCTTCCTGCCTCAGCCTCCTAAGTAGCTGGGATTACAGGCGCCCACCACCACACCCAGCTAGTTTTTTGTATTTTTAGTGGAGATGGGGTTTCACCATGTTGGCCATGCTGGTCTTGAACTCCTGACCTCAGGTGATCCACCCACCTCAGTCTACCAAAGTGCTGGGATTACAGGCATGAGCCACTGCACCCGGTCAATTTTGTTCTTTAAAAGGGTGTTTGTTATAGTCCTAAACAGACAAAACCTATGCGTTTGGCAACATTGAATGTATAATGTCTTTTAAACGTTTGCCAATTTGTTTAGTAAAAACTGAGATCTTATTTTAATTTATATTTCTGTGGTTTATAGTGCTGTCAAACATCGTTTAATATGTTTGTTCAATTTCCATTTTTGGGGGGAATTACTCGTTAATTTTTAAAAATATTTTTCTTGTTTATAGTAATTAACTTTTTTATAGTATATAGTGTACAGTTTCTTCACAGCTTTAGCTAAATCCTTTCAGGCTTAAAGATCACCAAGTAGAAGAGACTATAAAGATGTGCTTTTTTTTTTTTTTTTTTTTTTTTTGAGACAGAGTCTCACTGTGTCGCCAGGCTGGAGTACAGTGGTACGATCTTGACTCACTGTAACCTCTGCCTCCCGGGTTCAAGCGATTCTCCTGCCTCAACCTCCCAAGTAGCTGGGACTACAGGCGCACGCCATCATGCCCAGCTAATTTTTGTATTTTTAGTAGAGACAGGGTTTCACCATGTTGGCCGGGATGGTCTCGATCTCTTGACCTCGTGATCCACCTGCCTCGGCCTCCCTAAGTGCTGGGACTATGGGTGTGAGCCACCGTGCCCGGCCAAAGATGTGCTTGTAACAGACTTTTATATTTAACCACTTACTCCTTGAGGAATAAAATCCCAACTTCCTAAACCACATTTAGTAAGTCAATTCCTCCTATGTTTTATTTGCAGATTTCTTGACAATATATGGGTGATATAACATGGTATAATCTTAAATGTTAAGTGACAAAACTAGTAATGGAAGCCAGATTTTGTTCAGCGTATTACACTATTCTGTCTCCATGTGGATAACCCACTATCACTTCAAATTTTTTTTTTGAATCTAAAATCATCTGTCCTAACTCAATTTTCCCTCTAATCTCCTTAATCCTGTTTGAAGGTACCACCTTTCTCCTATTCCCTTAAACATAAATTATTTTAGACACTTAATCTTCTTTATTCCCTCTCAACAAGTTTGGCTCCCATATTTCCCCTCGTCACCCTCATTCAGATTTCCTTTCCCTTTCATATGTGATGTATGGTAATAACCAACCTATTTTTTTCTTAACCCCAAGCTCTTCCCATCTGTCTTGGGTATTACAGCCAAAATCATCTTTCAGAATACTGATGTAATCATATGACTTGTTTGGCTCAAAAGTTTCTAAACTCCTGTTACCTAAAAAGTCAAGTCTAAATTTATACTTCCATTCAAAGAGTATAATAGTCTGGTTCCAGCCTGTTCACCCAACTTTACTTCCCACTGCTCCCCAAAATAGCATTGTGTTCTCCAGCAAGGTATCATTTCTCAACTTCTGTTGGGTATGTCACACTCCCAACTCGGTATCTTTTTTTTTTTTGAGACAAAGTCTCACTCTGTTACCCAGGCTAGAGTGTGGTGGCATGATCCCGGCTCACTGCAACCTCTGCCTCCTGGGTTCAAGCAATTCTGCCTCAGCCTCCTGAGTAACTGGGACTATAGGCACGTGCCACCACACCCAGCTAATTTTTGTATTTTTAGTAGAGAAGGAGTTTTGCCATATAGGCCAGGCTGGTCTGAAACTCGTGACCTCAAGTGATCCTCCTGCCTCGGCCTCCCAAAGTGCTGGGATTGCAGACGTGAGCCACCTCGCCCTGCCCCAACTCTATCTTAGTTTATAAATCCCACCCCACCAGAAAGAAATTATGCAGTTCTTACTAACAGTTTCTTAATTACATCATTACGTCGGTTTTTCATGTATTTATGATAATACCATGCTGTTCCAGTAAGAAATAGAACAAATGGTAGTTGCTTAAACTCTTTAAAAATAAATAGCTATTTATTCCTCTGAAAAGTATTTTAAGGTTGGGGGCCTTTATACATAAATTCAACTTTTGAGATTACCTTTTTTCTTTTTGTGTGTGTTTTAGGTTTGGCTCTTTAACCATGGATGGTGGCCTTCGCAACGTTGACTGTCTTTAGCTTTCTAATAGAAGTTTGAGAAAAGTTTCTGTTTGCACAAGAAAATAACGCTTGGGCATTAAATGAATGCCTTTATAGATAGTCACTTGTTTCTACAATTCAGTATTTGATGTGGTCATGTAAATATGTACAATATTGTAAATACATAAAAAATATATAAATTTTTGGCTGCTGTGAAGATGTAATTTTATCTTTTAACATTTATAATTATATGAGGAAATTTGACCTCAGTGAGCACGAGAAGAAAGCCATGACCGACCAATGTGTTGACATACTGATCCTCTACTCTGAGTGGGGCTAAATAAGGCATTTTCTCTGACTGCCTACTGGAAATATTTTTAAGTGGAACCAAAATAGGCATCCTTACAAATCAGGAAGACTGAGTTGACACGTTTGTAAATGGTAGCACAGTGGCTACTGTGAGTGGGGAACAGAACCGCACCACTGTTATACTGGGATAACCATTTTTTTGAGAAGGATAAAGTGGCATTATTTTATTTTACAAGGTGCCCAGATCCCAGTTATCCTTGTATCCATGTAATTTCAGATGAATTATTAAGCAGACATTTTAAAGTGAATTCATTATTAAAAACTACTCGTTTTTTTTCCTTTGGCCATAAATGTATAATTGTCATTAAAATTCTAAGGTCATTTCAACTGTTTTAAGCTGTATATTTCTTTAATTCTGCTTACTATTTCATGGAAAAAAAATAAATTTCTCAATTTTACTGTAAAGAGTTCATGTGTTTCTATGTATTCAGTTTGTGAAGCAAAAGTTGTCTTTGGAAAGTAACAATATAGATGGTAATCATAAACTACTCTCGGAATATTGGATGTAGGGACAATTTTGTGTCTCTTCTAAACCCACTAATTCTAAATTTAGTATAGAAGTTCTTTCATATACTTAGGGTATACAAATTGAAAAGAAACATTTTCTTTTCTTTTTTTTTTTTTTTTTTTTTTGAGACAAGTCTCGCTCTGTAGCTCAGGCTGGAGTACAGTGGTGTGATCTCTGCTCACTGCAACCTCGGCCTCCGAGGTTCAAGCAGTTCTCCTGCCTCAGCCTCCCAAGTAGCTGGGATTACAGGCGTGCACCACCACGCCTGGCTAAATTTTATATTTTTAGTAGAGATGAGGTATCACCATGTTGGTCAGGCTGGTCTCAAATTCCTGGCCTCAAGTGATCTGCCTGCCTCAGCCTCCTAAAGTGCTGGGATTAGAGGTGTGAGTCACCACGCCCAGCCAAAAAGGAATGTTTTCTCTGAAAAATCTACCCAGAGTTCTAGACCAAGGGATTGTGCTTAGCAAGAAATTATTTCATCATTTTATCCAACAGGACTTTTCTTTATTTTGGTTTTGGTTTCTGGCTTTTCAGACTGGTGAAGTGTGATTACATACAATCTGCATATCATAAAAAGAACATATCCTAAAGAAAAATTTGTGTACCAAGAACATCAGTAACCATCAGTTTTAAGAGATGAGAAGATTAGAATTTTATGTGAGATTATGATGCATTATTGTAGTGGAGAATTTTAGGCATCATATGTACATATAACAAATAAATGCAAGGATGAATGCCTTTATTTAAATAATACAGTTATCCACTGTCAGTTACCTGTTTAGTTTGAGAGTGTGTGGGGCAAGAAAGTATTTAATCCCTCTTCAATTTTCCATTTGACCATCTAATATGGGTATCTTGTATAGTTTAAAAGCTTACATCACTGAATATTAGATAAAATTTTACTCAAATTATGTGATTATTTGATATATTTGCCAATTTAGTTTTTATTTCAGCACCTCTAGCAAAGAACACCAATAAATAGAAACTTTATGTGGAGATTGTATTTTTATTAATAGTATTGATAGGAATATATCTATTCCACAGTAGTATTTTTTAAGTTTGACTCTTTTATTCACCCATTACAGTGACATGGAAGAGAAGCATTCTTGCTTTCAGTTATTTTACCCTCAAAAATGCATCCTCATTCAAAATATTTATTTTTTGAAAACATTTTAAATAAATAAATGCATGGTCATACCAGTCTGCTAATTTTCAGTGACTATTTAAATGAAATTAGCTTTAAAATAAGTTGTATCTTCACTTTAGTAGCCTTTTTTAAATACTATATTTTGAAAAGATAGCAATTAATGGTATAAAAATAGTATATATAACAAATAGACGGGTGTGATGGCTCATGCCTGTAATCTCAGCACTTTGGGAGGCTGAGGCAGGGATATCACTTGAGATCAGGAATTCTATACCAGCCTGGGCAACATAGCGAGAGCCTTGTCTCTACAAAAAAACAAATGTTAATTAGCCAGGCATGCTGGCATGTGCCATAGTCCCAGCTACTCAAGGCTGAGCTGTGAAGACTGCTTGAGTCGAGCAGTTCAAGGTTACAGCAAGCTATGATTGCCAGCCTGGGTGGCAGAGAGAGACCCTGTCTCAAAAAATTAAAATAGAAGAGTTAGTAGATAGAACTCTTAGCATAAAACAAGTTAAAGTACGGACAGCGGAAAAAATAAAAGTGAAATAAGTGAATATAAAGTATATGAAAAGAAGGAATAGCTTTGGCCAGGTGCAGTGGCTCATACCTGTAATCCCAGCAATTTGGGAGGCCAAGGCAGGCGGATTGTCTGAGGTCAGGAGTTCGAGACCAGGCTGGCCAACATGGTGAAACCCTGTTTCTACTAAAAATACAAAAATTAGCCAGGCATGGTGGCAGATGTCTGTAATCCCAGCTATTCGGGAGGCTGAGGCAAGAGAAACGCTTGGACCTAGGAGGCAGAGGTTGCAGTGAGTCAAGATTGCGCCACTGCACTCCAACCTGGGCAACAAGAGTGAGACTTCATCTCAAAAAAAAAAAAAAAAAAAAAAGGATAGCTTCAAGTAAATAAACAGGAATGTAAGGTTACGAAAGAAATGGGAAAAATAATCCCATTAAGTCTCCTAAAATTTGAGCTGCCGGCTGGGTGCAGTGGCTCATGCCTGTAATCTCAGCACTTTGGGAGGCTGAGGCAGGCCAATCACCTGAGGTCAGGAGTTCGAGACCAGCCTGGCCAACATGGTGAAACCCCGTCTCTACTAAAAATAAAAAATTAGGCTGAGCATGGTGGCTCACACCTGTAATCCCAGCACTTTGGGAGGCTGAGGTGGGTGGATTACGAGGTCAACAGATCAAGACCATCCTGGCCAACATGGTGAAACCCCGTCTCTACTAAAAATACAAAAAATAGCCAGGCGTGGTGGCATGCACCTGTAGTCCCAGCTACTTGGGAGGCTGAGGCAGGAGAATTGCTTGAACCTGGGAGGCAGAGTTGCAGTGAGCTGAGATTGTGCCACCTGCACTCCAGCCTGGCAACACAAGACGACTCCATCTCAAAAAAATAAATAAAAATAAAATAATTAGCTGGGTATAGTGGCACGCACCTGTAGTCCCAGCTACTCAGGAGGCTCAGGCAGGAGAATCACTTGAACCGGGGAGGTGGAGGTTGTAGTGAGCTGAGATCGCACCACTACACTCCAGTCTGGGCAACAGAGTGAGACACCATCTCAAAAAAAAAAAAAAAAAAAAAAAAATCCAGCTGCCATTATTTTAGAGGTTACCAAATTTTTGGCTTATAGACCTGATTATACCATGTCAAAAAGAAATGCTTCTTAGATATTAAAAAATCAACATTTCTTTACAAATGGTAGTGTCTTTATCAATAAATTATCCAGAAAAAAATTACAATAATCCTGAACTTTTTATGGTTGTTTTGGTTTAGATTGTTTTTATTTCTTTGGTTTTTGTTTTTGCAATAGTGTTTACCTTTTGTGGTGATCTGTGTTAAAAGTAAGAGATAGATTGTTTAGAATTAAGAAAGGAACTATCAGTAGGAATAAGCACTCTCAACTAAAATGTCAACAATTTATTCCCTTTTCAGAATTACAGCCACCACCAGGGCTAGTCTTTTTTTTTTTTTTTTTTTTGAGATGGAGTTTCACTCTTGTTGCCCAGGCTGGAGTGCAATGGCGCAGTCTCGGTTCACTGCCACCTCCGCCTCCCGGGTTCAAGTGATTCTCCTGCCTCAGCCTCCCAAGTAACTGAGATTACAGGTGCCCACCACCATGCCTGGCCAATTTTTGTATTTTTATTAGAGATGGGGTTTCACCATGTTGGTCAGGCTTGTCTCAAACTCCTGACCTCAGGTTATCCACCTGCCTCAGCCTCCCAAAGTGCTGGGATTACAGGTGTGAGCCACCACACCTGGCCAAGAGCTAGTCTTTTGTTTCTAATTTCACCTTACTCAGATGTGTTTTATACATTGTGCTTTGTCTTTGAGGAAGTGCTGCAGAAAATTTACAATTACTCAAACAAATTTTGAAACTGGTCAGTGCTGGGGCAGACACAGTTGAAGGGAAAAACATTTAAAGAAATCTTACCAGTACTGTTTTAGCTGGATTCTCCACCCCACATCCCACTTTTAAGAAGACCTGAAAAACTCTTACACTGTTGTTTTAGTTGGACTTGCTCCCCACTTGTCACTTATAAGAAGAATCAAAGTCCAAATTCTTAAGAAATACTGAAAGTGGAATAGAAAACAAAAACATCTGATCTGGAAATAAAAACTGGCAATATAATAATATCCCTTGTTTCTCTTTAGAGAGTAAATCAGCTCCAAAAATTTGTTGTGGCATATAAAAAGCAAGCATCAGGCTGTTCAAGCGACTTAACTCCTAAATGAATATATGAATAAGTTTATTTCTTTTGACATAAACAGAAGGCACAAGGACCAACTGTTAGACATAGTCTCAGGAGTGATGATGGGAAACTCAGTGCGAGCTGCATGGTAGACAACTAGGCACTGATGTCTGCTGAAATGCTGAAAGGGATTCAGTAATGTTAGAAGTTCTAGAGAATTGTTCAATAAATGGTTAAAGATCAAAATAGGACCCTGGGGGAAAATGTTCTTTTGCACCTTTTTTTTTTTTTTAAATACGGTCTCGCTCTGTCACCCAGGCTGGAGTGCAGTAGTGCAATCATAGCTCACTGCAGCTTCATCTGGATTCTAGCAGTCCTCCCACCTCAGCCTCCTGAGTAGCTGGGACTATAGGTACATGCTACCACGCCCAGCTTTTTTGTTTTGTTTGTTTGTTTGTTTGTTTTTGTAGAGACAGCACTTTGTTGCCTAGGCTGGTCTTGAGCTCCTGGGCTCAAGCAGTTCTCCCATCTCAGCCTCCCAAAGTGCTGGGATTACAGGTGTGAGCCCCTGTGCCTGGCACTTTTACACATTTTTTGACTCATAAGAACTAATTTTTTTTTCTGGGATAAATTCCTGCCAAAGTTTAAAATAGGTTTCATTTTTCCAGTAAAAATGCATAAAACAAATGGGATCAAGGCTACGGCTTTGGGAGATTGCTTGCCCATCACCACTAAGTCCTGCAACTTACCACTGATAATTCTGTTGGAAATTGAGTTAGTTGATACTGTTTTTGTTTTTGTTTTTTTTCACTCCTCTATGAAAATAATTGTGTTTTTATGAACGAGGTCAGGAGGTCCATGCTTAAAAATTACCAAGTGTTGCATTAGGTTAGAGCTTCTTTTAAGAAAGCTTAAAACTCTTTCTTTAGAAAGAACATCTATTAATACAGTTTCTAGTTATGAGGGCCAAGGCCTAAAGGACAAGCCAAAAGAATGACAGAGGAAGGGGATTTAGGGCTAACAGGTGGTCCCCAGACATACTGGCTGAAA